AGCAGGGAATCCATCCACATCTGGTGATTTATTGTTTGGCATTGATTGAACTGCTTTCTTAAATTCTTCCTCAGTTAATGGTGCTTCTAAAGAGTATCGTTGGTCATTGTTCAACCAACGAATGGTGATCATCAAGAAAGGCATCAATATCAGAGTGTTTGTAACTGTATTGCTTGATTATAAGGTCTTGCACTAATTTTAAAAGTTTCATTTATTACTTTTGGGTTTTGGGTATTGTTCCCTGAATCCCTGACTCTTGTATAGTGGTTATAGTGTGTTTTTCTTTGTTTTGTTTTAATTGGTTTGCTAAGAATTTTCCTGATATGTCATTATGCTCTAAGTGATTTTGTTTAAGTTGTGAAAGTAAAAATTGTGTTTTTTGATTGATTAGAGTATCTAGCTGGGCTTTAGTTTTGTTTTTTAAGAGGTTTTTCAGTGGGATTTTCTGCATATGAGCTCTGGAGTTGCTTTGAATATTGTTCTAGGCTGTTTTGCTTTTCCTGCTATCCTTTTTTTTCTTATGTACTGAATATGATATGATGTTTCCTCTCATCACTGATTTTGATAATTCACTTGATAATATGGGAGAAGTTTCTTGCAGATCATTGGTTTCCATAAAGGATGTCTACTCTCTTTCAAAGTAGATATCAAATTCTTTGTGTTTGATGAGCGATGTATTAAATTACCATCTTGGCCTTGTTGCAGTTTTTTGTATGTCACTAAAATGAAAAGGAATAGGGTCATGATCAGAGATTACGATTGGATGGATTGTTGATTTTGATATACAGTATGTGGTATGATGGAGTTGCTTGTAAGAAACAAATCAGTGCAAGAGAATGAATGATGAACCTGGGAGAAATCAGTATATTCTTTAACTGACGGGTGTTGCAAAGAAATCTATTGTAATATAGGCTCTTCATAAACAGTGTGACAGTGATTCTGTTGCCCTGTCATGGTTTAGGATGACTAGCCTGATCCAAATATCTGCCTTGGTGTTTGTCTTTGACTGTGAGAGGCTGTGTAGCTGTGAAATGCAAATGCAGTAATAATGTCTGATTCTGTATGAAGTGATCAGCATGATTATCAGTGAAATATATTACAGTAAAATCAAGGCTGGGTAAGTTGCTGATGTTGCTGCTGATTTTGATGGTAGAAGTGTTCTGATATCAGATATCAGTGAAAATACACAGTTTGAAAGCTGTAAATGTGTTTACTGTCTGTAGAGGTTAACACCTGTTAACGTAAGCTAGAATCCAGGGAGCTGATGGGCAGCAGGGCTCTCACTAAAATTACATTATTAAGTAAGCAATCTACTCATAATTTTGAAAAAGTTTTTTCTCTTAAACAAACTTCATTAAACAGTAAAACCTCAACAAGCCTTTTAATAGACTACTGATTTACTTTTACTTAAGCAGTTTTATTTACTAATACTTTTACTTGTACTTGAGTACATTTTCACTACAGTAACAGTACTTGTACTTAAGTAGGGATTTTCAGTACTCCTTACTGAAAAATGTAGGATGTGGGAATGGAGTTCACTGACTGACAGAAACACAAGACAGAACATTGCTAAATTGACAGTCAGGGGTGACTTTCAGTAAAGCCTTTTTGTAGTGTAATAACAGTTATTAGTAAAATCACTAAGTATTCATAACTTTTCCTCTTTTACTAGTTTTTGTGGCTAAGCTTGTTCCTTTCGATTGATCTCACTTCCTCTTGTTCCTCTCGGCCTCTCATTCCTCACATATTGCTTTTGACTGTTTTTAGAACTCTCTCTCTGCAGTCCTGCCTGCTCTCACTCCAGTGCTTCTTCCCAGTAAAGAAGTAGTAAAGACTAAAATTGAACCACCTACCTTCTCGATTCACATGTTTGTCTTGCAACCCACTTTAAAAAATTGGGACCGGGACAAATTAAGAGTGAAAAGTTGATAAAATACTCAAGTTACATGATTTTGAAACATTCAATAATAATAATAATAATAAGCAAGTGAATTGTTAACAGCTAAGTGTGTCATGAATGAATATAAAAGTAGCATCCCCCAAAGTCTCAGTCTTTGCAAGCAAAAATGGCTCATGACTCACCAGTTTGAATTGTCTCAACTGTTGTTAGAACAGGGAATGGTCTCCTGCTTCCCGATGCTACAATAATTAAACTCAAATAGCCTTCAGAGTTCAGTTCCCATTGAAGCAACCATCAAGGGTTACTTTTGCTTTGAATGCTTATTTTTTTGGGAATTTTGTTTTCTAAGCTTGCTGCAATATTATAAAACAATGTCTCAGGTATCAGGCAGATTATCAGTAACCATTTCAGGTAATCAGATGCCTATTTACTATCACTTCTGTTGATGTAATCAGGAGGCTATTTACTATCAACTCTGCTGTAAACTCATTCTGACTTATCAAGGTTCTCATATACCAACTCTCATTTTACGGTGGTGGTGATAGGAACTACAATGGCTACAATACAAGCAGCTATTTAGATAGATTAAAAAAATGTTGTTTGAGTACTGTTTCTCCTTACGTGCATGTATTTTATGAGTACGTTACAATTGTGACTCTGTAAGTTTCTTTCTCTAAGAAGCCATTTTTTGAGTTCTTCTTTAGAGTAAAACTTTACACACTCTGCTCTGATTTTAAAATAGTTAATAAACAAGCACTGATGGTGTTTAAAGACAGGTGTTTTAAAAATATTCTCTTAAAATTATAAAAGGTAACTATATCCTAAATACTGCCTTGCACAGAATACACATACTTAATTACTGTATTCTGAATACATTTTCCTAATACTTGTTATATTCCAACCCTGAAGTTCACATTCTACATAACTGTAGTCTAATATGATTGGCTTGCAGCGTAAAACTACAACCACTGTCTTTGACTCCAGCGCTTTTATGCAGTTAAAAGAACTTTTACTCCAAACAAGTCAACAATAAACAGATTCTAAAAACACCTTAAGCTCTAATAAATACTTTACTATTACAAAGCTTAGGTATCTCAGTTTCAGCAATATAACAGTGAAACATCAGAATGTTCACACAACATCACAAATTTAAAGTCCTAATTTTTATTAGTAGTAAAAAAAATCCTCTCAGGCATTGTTCCCTTTCAATATTAAAAATCTCTGAACTACTTTTCTGAGCTCCAATTAATAGTTAATCACTTAACCTGATCTGGTTACCCTTAGTTCTTCAGAAGTCTGGAAAGTCTGAGATGATCTATTAGCTTGTTTTGAGTCAGTATCACAATTTGACTCCTTTGCTGTTGTATTGTCATCTGCGCTCGTAAAAGTTGGAATCAGCTGCAGGTGATGCCGATTCTTATCTTCTGTTCCCCATCAGGAGAACGCACTACATAGGAACGGGGTGTTGCGCATTCATGTCCACGTTTCTCGAGCTTCTCCAGGACAGGGCATGCCAGTCGCAAATCAAGTTTTTGTGTTTCCACTTTAAGTAAAAAGTGTGCTGCTTTTCAGCTTCCCTGTTACAGTTGGACCACTTAGGATCAGGGTGGCAAAGCGGTGCACCAATTTTTGCTCTATTAAAACCTCTGACAGACTCACATCTGCCAGTGTAGATGCCATGGCTGTGTAGCATAATAATGCGAGTAGTAGGTCCTTTGTGCGATTGTTTTTAATATGTCATATATATAATTAAGGGACATTGTGTGATACTACTATGTTTGGGATACAAAACCGTGCAAACATTGCTTTTAATTTAACTACTACTTACTCTGCAGATGTGATAAGTAGGTGTAGAATTTCCAAATAATGTGAGTAATAATCATAAACTACAAAATAGTGTAAGCCTTGGTACTCATACAGATCAGTTGGAATATGCTGCCGTACTCTATAAGGTAAGGGCGTAGGACGATATTACTTTTCCTTGTGTTCTTTTATACTAGAAGGTGTAACTGATTTTGTGTGAAGACATACTGCCCTTGTCTATTGTGTCCAGCATGTGTTTAAGCCACAAAATGCTTATGTTGACAGAACATGGCTCCACTCCCTATTTGAGTATTTTGGCTGCTTGAGTCTTTAGTGTTCTGTGCTCCTCAAAGCCTGAACAGACTTCCTTTGTTCACCTGACTAGACCCACCTCTGTTGCAGCCATTCTTCTGAAGAGACTGTTTACTCTCAATCCTTTTGCTACATGCATGGCAAGGTTGTCTCGCTTTAAGTGTCACACCAGTGCTGAAATGTCCAATGCAATGTAATGGATGCTCTGGACTGTTTAGTGTTATGTTGGCTTTTTCTAGCAGGTTTAGTGTTTGGAAAGTCTTTCTGTTGCATTTCCCATATGTGTTTTGAACAAGTGTATTACTGATGTTCAAACTAACAGACACATATCTGTATTAGTGTCCCCTTATAGCTCTGAAGCAGTACTTTGATTCAAAGACCTGCATTATTTCTTAAACCACTCTGCTTTTGCACTTGCTGTCCTAGAGTGCTTTCTTTTTGCATCATCTACATTCAGTGACTGATGCTGGATGATTTTGCTTGGTCTGTGTGTGTTTGCTCCACCCAAACATACATACATACATACATACATACATACATACATCATCTAAACCGATTATCCTTCTGGGTCGCGGTGGGGTGCTGGAGCCTATCCCAGCTGTCATTGGGCGGAAGGCAGGATACACCCTGGACAGGTCGCCAGTCCATCGCAGGGCAGACAGACAGACATACACAATCACACACACACACTGACACCTAGGGGCAATTTAGCCCAATCAGCCTGACTGCATGTCTTTGGACTGTGGGAGGAAACCGGAGTACCCGGAGGAAACCCACACAGACACGGGGAGAACATGCAAACTCCACACAGAAATGACCCCGGTCACCCAGCCGGGAATCAAACCCAGGCCATTCTTGCTGTGAGGCGACAGCGCTACCCACTGCACCACCGTGCCGCCCTCCACCCAAACACTTATCCTCAAATACTCATAAGAGCATGTTACTAGGCTGCTGTTGTTAGGATATTTCAACTTGGCAAAAGAGAGACATCTTTAGGCATTTTATTGTAAAGCATCAGGATTTTCCATACAAATAACTATTAATAATGAATAGAAATTAATATGCACACATAGCTTACTCAGATGTTTCAAATTCATTTGATTCACATTTAAGCATGTGTTTACATAAACTGCTTAACATCAATAAACAATGTGATGCATACAATCAGTGATTTTACTAATCAGTGATTTTACTAATTTAGATTAGTAATTTAGATTACAGTTAAGGCACAGTTCAAAAGATTCACTTGTAATTATTTTGAATAGCACAATAAATTCCTTTTCTTGTGGAGATTCCATTTCTGAGGGATGCCTAGTCCAGCCAGAATGCTCAGGGAACTCCGCCATCACTCTCACAGCTAAAAAGAAATGAAATTGAACAAAGGAACATGAAAAAGGAAAAAAGGAAAAATAGTCCAATAAATCTTTTCCACAAAAAAAAAAAACACTTTTCCCACGTTTTGAAATTAGGTTGATGAAACAACGTGATCGAGGCATCACTTGGCCAGTTTTAATTTCAGTTTAAATCAGCAATCGTTTTTCTTATTCATTCTTCTTTATCCCACCATGACATTTAATCTCCAAATTTACATTATACTCTGATAGCAGGGTGCTAGACTTCGGAGAGGCACTGCTGCTGCTCTAATCCAGCAAAGCCTCAGTTGTGCTACCAGGGAAATTGCAGAGAAGAGACTTTAAGGAGAGAGAGAACTCCAAAGTTGTTGTTTGTGACTGTTGCATTCTCTAGCGCTGAGGTTGTCAACTCAAATGTTAAGAACAGCCTTTTTGTCCTTTCAACAAAAATCAAACCACCTTGGGGGCCACAACATTTTATGTCCATTTTACCATCTTGGCTGTGAATATGTCCCAGTATGTGCTAATGTACTAGTACAGGCTAAAAATGTAATATAAGTTTTACTTTGCTCTGCTTTAAGCTTTAGCTCAGCTATAGCCGCTTTTCTCACATCTCCGGCAGGAAACTTTTCCACAAAGGTGGAATAGTTACTTGTAAAATGTCTCCCAACGTTTGACTTTCCACAAGGCTGAAGTCAGCCTCTCATTCGCCAGCTTCTCATTTGACTTTGGAAACCAGCTGAGTGCTTATAAACACAAATGAGTCCATTCATCTTCAAATTATCAACATTCGTCTTAAATCTTTCTCTTTGCCGTTTCAAAAACTGCTAGCTAGGCGCGATTGTTGTCATTGCTATGGTGACCAGCAGTCTGCGTCAGGGTTAAAGGGAGAATTAGCAGATATAGGCTACCTTAACTCCAGCATTTAGGAACATTTATTGTTAAAACTGTATTAGAACGATCAGCAGAGCTTTATTTTACTTCCAAGGAGGATTATTTTATTTTTACCTAAAAATCTAATTCTGCTGTGGAGCCACAACAGGGCAGTACAAGAGCAGCTCCGAAGCCACAAGCTGCTGACGCCTGCTTTAGGGGTAAAAAAGCCCATGTAAAACACTCCTCCTTGCCCAAAGTTTCATTACACACTTTTATAACCTAAGAATATCTCAGCCAGTTTGCACGGAAGTCTCTATAGCTACTGAATCATAAGCCTTAGTATGTAATAAGCCTGTGATTTTAAGGGGTTAATACCTACACTCATAGCAAAAAGGGTTCTATAAAGTACCAAAAAGGGGTTCTTTGACTTGTAACAAAAGTAGAACCCTTTTTGGTGCTATCTAGAACCATTTTTCAAAAAGGTTCTATATAAAACCATCTAAAGAACCCTTTCATGATGCACAGAACCCTTTAATCATGCAATCAGGGTTCTTTTGTGTGTTTGTGGTTATTTATAGAAACACTTTCTTTACTAAGGTACTCTTGAAGAACCATCCTTTTAGGAGTGTATTTTTACGTAGGTGATATAGAGGAGCGTAACACCAGAACTATGAAATGTTATTCATTCAGCGGCTCCACTGTGCTTATGTAATCAGAACATGATAAAAATATTTTAAAAATGATTACTTTAACAAAGCGCTCAAGACATGATCTTAACATTTCAGTGATATCTTGAATCATGGAGTTAAACATTTTCAGTAGGGATGATGGAGAGGACAATACTCATTATGAACTGTTGCTATTCTTATTATGTAAAATTTAACAATATTCTACATTGTTTTATCTAACATAACATAATAGGAGTTTGCAGTTCTTTGTTGTTTAGCCCTGGCACCCAGCTTAGCCAATCATATCACAACTCGTAAGTTGTAAGCCAGACATATCTCATAGAGGAGGGTCTCTGGTGCCACTAGCTCTGCTAAGTAATGTTAATAGGCAACTGGTAAAGCATTTTGGCTAATCTATCTTTTATTTGTTTATTTTTGTGGAAACAATTTAAAAACATCCAGAATTCCTTTCTTTACTTTCATAACTTAAAAATTAATGTTGCACTGGTTTTGAAAAATAAGCCTTTGATGTGGACGTGATATCTGGAGTTTGCTTCTTTAGTGCACACTGCATTCCTAAATTCCTCAGACACTTTGTTTTTTACTTTTAATTATGTTGTGCTGTAAAGTAATTCGCAAACAGACTTTCATATTTGGTTTCTGGCACTGTATGACTTACTGTTAACTATAAAAATAGACAAATGGATAGACAAAACTCAGGATTCCACATAGCTGCTACTGTTTATGCATTGTATTTTGTCTATTTTTATAGATACAGATGTAGTCATAGACTGTTACACAGGGTCAGAAACTAGATAACATCCTGTCATAGCAATAGTTTACCATTCTGAAGATTCTTTGTATTTGACAGTAGAAGTAAATTTTTAAGGAGTAAAATAATACTTGCCTTTGATCATGCCCATACTTTTATGAATGACAGATTTCCAGTTATATTTTGGAGGTTGTATTTAGGCTTTCACTCGGGCTCGGCGTCCAAGATGTTGCTAAACTCACTGGATTAAACAGAAAAATCATATTCATGATAAGATTTTCACAGTGGAGTGCCTCTTCTCTTAATGCCAAACTGTTCAATGGTCTTCATATGATCTAAAGATTTATGTTGCATGTATAATAATGTAAACTTTCTAATGATCTTGAAAGACAGGAACAGGATAATGTTTTACATATGAATATATATATAGTAAACACAGATATTCACATAAACACATTCATTATCATGATGTCACCATAGTAGTCAATCTTACTTGAGTCAGTACTGGGAGCCAGTTCCATTTCAGAAACTGCAGCCTTCCAAGATTTATGCTCGGGGAAATCTATAGTCATAGTTTCACCATTAACAGCTGCAGAAGGAGACAAAAACACTCTTTATTACACAGAGATCATACAGATTTAGTGTAATTTATATAATTATTTACTGAAGGACTCATTTTTCTAATTGTATAAATGACTGTAAATGTTCTTGCCTGTAACCACACCAACACTCCGGTGAGAGGCACTTCCCCACTTATATTTTGGAGAACTAACAGAGGCTTTCACCCTGACCCGGTCTCCAACCCTGAAGCTTTCTATAATATGGAGAGAAGAAATACAAAATCACAATATTTTAAATAATCACAAGAGTTAATTTGTTATCTTAACAGTTAAAGTGTTACTCATAATGTACAAGGATTTTTTTATCATTTTGTCTATGTCTTTTATGTATTTTTGAGAACTTACAGAGGCTTTCACCCTGACTCCAACCCTGAAGTTTTCTTTAACAAGGTTAGAGGAAGCATTCATTTCATTATTTCACTTATTCATTATCTTGTAATCTATAAGTCAAAATGTTATTTATAATCATTTTCTACATTATTCTTTTAGCCCTGTTTGTCTATGTGTCATTTTTTGTAAGGATCACCTGAGCCACCGTTATCGTATTTTACAAGAATTAATAGACATTAATTCTTTTTGAAGAATCCAAAATTGATAAACAAATCTATTGACCACTTAATTCCATTCTTCAATTTCATGACTTAAAAATTCACTTTGTATTGGTTCCTGAAAAATAAGCCCTTGATGTGGACATAAAATGGCCTTAAAGCAAGACATGTTTGATATCAGGGGTTTGCTTCTTTAGTGCACACTACATTCCCTACATTTTGCTTTAAATTATGTTGTGTTGTTATGTAACTTTCGTATTTGGTTTCTGGCACTGTATGACATATTGTTCACTATAGAAATGGACAAAAGGATAGACACAATTCAGGATTCCACATAGCTGCTACTGTTTATGCATTGTATTTTTCTATTTTTATAGATACAGATGTAGTCATAGACTGTTATACAGTGTCAGAAACCAGATAAGCAAGACTATTTCAAATGCAGTTTGCACAATGCTAACAGGTGCTTAAAAACGTTCAGTGCTTGTTAGTAGGGGTGTAGCCAAAGGGTGGCCAGGTGAAGCTCCCATGAAGCTTGGCCACCCTTCTAGCCATCCCAGTTAAATAAAGTATGACAGTCTGCTATGATCAGTGAGGCAGACACAGCAGAAGAGTTCTGCTACTTTGTGTGAAAGCTATTACGGTGAAAATCTGCCATCATGACAGTTACCAATCAATTACAGTCTGAGACTAGTCGTGTTCCTATTGCCCAAGAAAGCAGCTAACATTGGATTTCTACATTAGGACAACATTTAAAAGCACATACATCATTTTTCTTATTAATGTTTAATGGTATGTTTTTGTTATACGTTGTGCTCTGTGTGAATTACTATAACATTACTGTAACTGAATATTTTAAAGGAAATCAACATAAAGGAAAACAGGATAAAATCATTTTCAGTTTTTCCAGAGTGAAACTGTGTTTAAAAATGTGGTTCACTGGTTAATAATGCTATTATTTTGTTAGTCTTCATGGAGCTATGATCACTTTGATAATTTCTATGCAATGATACGATGAGTTAACTATCAAAAATTACTAATTAATGTTTACTACTGTTTAGTAACTTTTATCATTTCTTATTTAAGCTAAATATTTTTGACAGTGTTGTGTGTTTTTAATTTAGTAAGCTAGATTTCTTCAGAGGTGAAGAGTCCCTTCTGACACTATACTGGCCAAATAGTTGCAGTAGCAAATATTATTCTCTTATAATGTTACCTGCCTTTGTTTTTCTAGGAGTTTAACATAAAATCACTGGGTCTAAACTGGCCATCCTGTTGAAAAGCTTTTTGCTATGAATGTGCCTCTTAGCTGAACAGCTGCATCCAGGGTGAGGCGACATCTGACTAAATTCCAAAAACACCATAATCCAGTACACTCATTATTATGGTGTTACCATTATATACAGTCTTACCTGAGTCTTCACTGGGAGCCAGTTCCATTTCAGAAACTGCAGCCTTCCAAGATTTATGCTCAGGAAAATCTACAGTCATACTTTCACCATCAAGAGCTGCAGACGGAGAATAAAGACATTATTTACTATGTTCTACAAAATTTGTTCAAACAGTGGTCCCACAGTTAAAAAACCATTTAAAAAACAAATAATAAATCAGACCTAAAATATTTACCAGGATTATGTTATGATGTAGTTAAACCCAAGGCATTAATTGAGATACTTAAAAAGCTAAATATATACAAATTCATTATTTATAGGGTACTTTCTATTTGGAGGTGGCTGTCCCAAACCCATACATTTCAACGTGTGAAAAGAATGCTTGTATCTTACATCAAGTTGAAAGATTTAAATTTCTCATTAGTTTAATTTTTAAATAAAAAAGTCAAGAAATGCTGTGTCATGTTGTCATGTCACTACCAAACATGGAGAGTTTTACTCCATAGGTGGCATTTTAAAGCAGGAAGTGAGACTGCATCCCTGTCCCTCATGACCACATGGTAAACAGTTAAATTCCACAGTTTTGAAGTAAATGTGTCCCAAAATCTGTAAATCAGTGTGTAACATTAAAAATGGTTACTATCAAAACTGCAATACTTTTTTTTGAGTTTTAATGAAATTTAATGAAATTTTGAGCTCAAAAGTAGCTAAAATTGTCACTATCGAAACAGTCACTACAGAAACATCTGGTAATGTTTTAGAAGCTTTGTTATTGTATTGTAGTGACAAAATGGAATACTCATGAAAATAAATATAATTAAGGTATGGGGTCAGTCAAAGCAAAAGGTTTTAGTCTGAAGTCCAATTCAGTTAAAAGTCTGAAATGGGTTTTTAACTTTAAATTTGAACCAGTTCAGTAAAATGATCCAAATATGTCACACTGCATTTGAACAGCAGGCAGCGCCAAAGCGTTACTTCTCTCGTTCGTCTACGCCTTCCTAGGTGTGGCTTTAAAGTTAAAGCCACCTCACTCTTCTGTGAGAATTCTGCCTTGCTTTTTAAATTGTTCCATCCTCTCTGGGAGAGAGTTTCTTTTTGTTCTTTCTTTTAGTTTCTTTAGTTCTTCTGTGCTTTAGGTTTTTCCCCTCAAGGGGTTTAGTAATAAAAAACAAAATAGAGGTGAGGATACAGATTTAGTGTAAATGATATGAGTGCTTATTGAAGAACAGTGAATCACAGTTTTTTTCAATTGCGTAAATTACTGTATCAATGATTGTAAATGTTCTTGCCTGTAACCACACCAACACTGCTGTGAGAGGCACTTCCCCACTTGTATTTGGGAATACTAACAGAGGCCTTCACTCTGACTCGGTCTCCAATCCTGAAGTTTCCTATAATGTGGAGAGAGGAAACAAATACCTATAATAACTTCTTTACATGGAATTCAGACCACTTGAATAATTACAGAAATGATCTTACATTAAGACACACATTCTGAAGATTGATAAATAAAGGCTTTGACTCCTCAAATTCACAGACCTGTCAGTGAGTGCAGACTTCCATTTATCACTAACTTAATAACTCAAACACTTTGAACTGGTTTTCATGTAGTTACTGAATAAAAAAGCCTTAAGATGTGGACATGAAAAGGAGTTTAAAGGGGTTAACCTTTGCTTTTGCTTTTAGTTTATTGAATGCTAATAACCTGTGCAAACTGCATGCCTAAAACATAATACACTTGCCTCTTGCCTCAGATCAAGTTCAGTTGTTAACTAATCTCAACTATACTTATTTGTGTGGTTTCTGACACTGTATGACATATGGTTATCTGTACAAATGGTCAGCATCACAGATAAAATTCAGGCTTCAGTACTGCTATAATTAGCCCATTCATTATTATGGTGTGACCATAATGGTCAGTCTTACCTGAGTCCGTACTGGGAGCCAGTTCCATTTCAGAAACTGCAGCCTTCCAATTTTTATGCTCAGGAAAATCTACAGTCATACTTTCACCATCAACAGCTGAAGATGGAGAAAAAAAACAATGTTTACTATATATCTTTGGTACTTGTTATTTAGTGTAATTGATATGAATTAAGGGCTGTCTGTCTACCTTCCAAAATGCAGCTAAAAAGGTCAGACAAAGCGATTTTGTTGATATTATATCTAGACACTGCAATGAATCCAGAGTATTTTTTAATACTAGCAATTCTGCTCTGAATCCACCAGTTCATTACCCTGCCCAGAGAGTCCTCTAGAATTTGTGAGGATTTTCAGCAGTTTTTTTTGGCAAAATTGAGAAAATCAAAGTCAATTTGACACACTCTGCCATTGACCCCCCTCTAGATTTGAACTCTACTTTAACTCTACTCAATAAGGTACAAGAGAAAGTTGTGCTTACACAACTATGGGCCCATGTGCCGAAAATTACATTTTTGACCGTTTTCAGCCTGGTTTTAAACCCTTCCACAGCACAGAGTCAGCACTCTTAAAGGTGACCAATGACCTGCTTTGCTGTTGATACAGGAAAGTGTGCTGTTCTGGTTTTGCTGGACCTTACAGCTGCTTTTGAAACTGTCGACCACAACTTACTCATTCAGCATCTTGAGCACATGGTAGGCCTCAGTGGGACACTGCTGAGTTGGTTTAAGTCCTATCTTTGTGATAGGACTTTTACAGTACACGTTAGTAATTTCCATTGCTCTTCTTCTACCATCAGTTGTGGAGTTCCTCAAGGGTGCATTTTAGGACCATTGCTGTTTTCATTATACATGCTTCCATTGGGAAAAATCATTAGAAAGTATGATATGCAACTCCATTGTTATGCCGATAACACAGCTGTATCTCCCCTTGTGGCCTAAAGACCCATGTTTACTCAAGCGGCTGAATGAATGAATGTCTATTTGAAATTAAGAGTTGGTTGGAAGGCAGTTTTCTCCAACTAAATGAAAGTAAAACTGAAGTGATCCTCTTTGGCTGTCCCTGGCATCCCAATCGTTTAATTAATAATCTTGGTGGACTGTTGGAGTATGTGAAACTTCAAGTAAAAAACCTTCGGGTAATATTTGACCCTGACCTCAAGTTTGATAAACAAATTGACTGTCAGACATGGAGAAGGTTATGCATGCTCTCATATCATCTAACTTAGAGTACTACATCAGCCTGTACATGGGTGTTTGTAAGTCCTCTGTAGCTTGTTTACAGTTAGTCCAAAATGCAGCAGCTTCCCTTCTCACAGGCACAAAATGAGGAACCACATGACCCCCATCTTGGCATCCCTACACTGGCTTCTTGTAAACTACAGGATCCAATTCAAAGTTCTTTTATTTGTTTTTAAGTCACTAAATGGATCTGCCATCCTAATTAAGGGATCTCCTCCAACCATATTCTTTCTCCAGGTCCTTGAGGTTATCAGATCAGTTGTTACTATCTGTGCCACAGCCTGTGGAACAGTCTATCTGGACATTAGGTCTGCACCCTCTACTGATGCTTTTAGGTCTAGATTAAAAACCTATTTTTATGGGTTAGCCTTTGATTCTGTGAATTGATTGCACTGGATCTTGTTTTGTTATAAACATTATGTTGTCTTTTATATGTGTTTTAAACGTATCCCATTTGTGCAGCACTTTGGGCTTAAACGTGCTTTATGAATAAATACTTACTTTAGTTACTTATTTGTAATTGATATGATTACTTTATAAGAGCTTTGAATTACAGTTACATTTTTCCAAAAATTTAAATGATTTAAATAAATGTTAAATGTTCTTACCTGTAACCACACCAACACTGCTGTGAGAGGCACGTCCCCAGTCATATTTTGGAGAACTAATAGAGGCTTTCACCCTGACCCGGTCTCCAACCCTGAAGTTTCCTTTAACATGGTTAGAAGAAGTACTGAATTCAGTAAAGACAAAAATATCACAGTATTTCAGCTAATCAGGAGATGATTAGATTGTTATCTAAGCAGTTCTCCCAAATTGTTACTTCTATAACTTTCTGACGTGGGTTTAGCCCTGCTTGTCTGTGTCACTTGTTGTTAAAACTAAATTTTTGGCTAAATCATTACATTGATATCTGACCTTTAAGTCCAATGATATGATACCCAATCCTTTCATTATCATGATGTTACTATTATGGTCAGTCTTACCTAAGTCAGCACTGGGAGCCAGTTCCATTTCAGAAACTGCAGCCTTCCAATTTTTATGCTCAGGATAATCTACAGTCATACTGTCACCATTAATAGCTGCAGAGGGAGACAGACGACACAATTTACTTCACAAACTGGCCACTGTAATTACTCAATGAAGAACACAGTCTTTACAGTTTTACAGTTATATAAATGACTGTAAACAACTGTAAATGCTCTTGCCTGTAACCACACCAACGCTTCTATGAGAGGCACTTCCCCATCCATATTTTGGAGGACTAACAGAGGCTTTCACTCTGACCCGGTCTCCAACCCTGAAGCTTTCTATAACAGGATTAAAAGAAGCACTGATTTCAGTAAAGACATAAATATCACAATATTTCAGATCATTACAAGAAATCATTTTTGTAAAATCTAACTGATGACTTTGTTACATGGCTTTTAGCCTTGTTTGTTGTTGTATAAAAGGCCACCTTAACCACCATAATCGTATCTTTTGGGAATAAATACAATTAATGACAAAAATAATTGATAAATGATGGAATTGTCCGCTTAAAGATAATCATTCTATCATTATCAAGTAGTCACCATAACAATCTGTCTTTTCTGACTTGCAAGTCCAATAATGGTCCTTTAATGGTCAGTCTTACCTACGTCAGCACTGGGAGCAAGTTCCATTTCAGAAACGCTGGCCATCCAAGACCTATGCTCAGGAAAATGTACAGTCATACTTTCACCATTAATAGCTGAAGAAGGCAAACAAGCAAGCAAGCAAACAAGCAAAAAAAAATTAATTAATTTCTGTTTATAGATTTAGTGTAATTAATATGATTATATAATTAAAAAAACTGTGAATTACAGTTACATTTTTCAAATAGTGTAAATGATTGTAAATGTTCTTGCCTGTAACCACACCAACACTGCTGTGAGAGGCACTTCCCCACTTGTATTTTGGAGTAGTAACAGAGGCTTTCACCCTGACCCGGTCTCCAACCCTGAAGTTTGCTATAATATGGGTAGAATAAATACAGATTTCATTAGGGCAAGAAATATCAAAATATTTATTTTTTTTAATTAAAAAAATGTACAGTGATTGTGTTGATTTACAAAAAGTTACTGAATGAAAAGCCTTAGGATGGATATAAAAAGGAACTTGTACTATTTGTCTTTTTTTCAAGAGGATTTCAGAAAATGGTGAAGCAAACAAATGAAAGCAAGCAAGCAAACAAACAAGTACAGTAGTACAGTGCAAAAGTCAGACAGCATTTTTCATTTATTTAATATCCAGTAAAAATGATCATTTTGTACACAGAAAAATAAAACACAAAGAGCTAAATATAATATTACAGCTGCCATTCTTTTCAGAAAACTTGCTTTTAGTGTTACAAAGAATTCTACAGGGATATTTTTTCCACATCTACAAGTTCAGTCTTAGAATCCGGTTGCATTTATTGCTTCTCTCGATCCCAGTTATCCCTCACACATTAAATGATGGTAAGATCTGGACACTGGGTTGGTCAGTCTGTTGTTCTAGGAACACTAGCAGCTTCTTTTTGATTTGCAAACATTCTTATTTTCTTTTGAAAGATACATATCCTGATGTCATCTGTTGTTTCTGTAATAATAATATCATGTCGTACACATATGTAACTAGGTTTTTTTTAACTTAACTTATTTTACTTAATTCATCATTTAATTAACTTATTATTTTGTTAATAGGTTTCATGAAAAACTCTTTTTCTCTCCACTGCTGCTCCCACATTCTCCTGAGAAGTGAGGCCACTAATGAGGTTAGTTTGATCATTCATTTAAAAGAGCTCTGTAACATTGAGATTAATAATTGGTTCATCATATTGATTTATCAGTCTACTCAGGCTTTAGCCGGAACTTCATTGTTTGTAAAGAAGCTGTTAATTGAGATCCTCTTTAGAATTCATCTAACAAGCATGTTCGCTACATGTGCATTGATTTCAAAATAGATCATAAACATGCATTGATGGTGTTTTTTTTTTGGATATTGTATGTTTTTATTTAGTGGATAAGTATTCAAAAAATATTCTTCTAAAAATGTAAACAGTAACTGTATTCTGAATATTGTATTTACAAAATGTAACCTGGACTAAATACAGATACTTAATTTCGGTATATAATATATACGTATACTGAATATGTATTCCCAATACTTGTATTCTGTTACATCCCAACTCTCCATGTAATTTATTCTTTTCTTAAATTGTATGCAAAATATACAAAATGTGCTATATTTCATCTCTAATTACATGTAAAACACTGGCATGATTTTCAAAGTTGAATGAAACACCAGCTGCACAATATGAACTTTATGTCCAGTTATCAAAGAATGAGCATCTGGGAGTGATAATACTGGTATCACCCCAAACATCTTCCAACTAGAACAAGAATTAATGAGTATTAAGGATCAGATGTTACAGGGATTTCAATGCTTAAATCTTATAAATTGCAGCATGTCAAAAAGGTGGATTTTCAAACAAGAACAATCTTGAATGTAACAGATTTTTCTCTGTTTTTCTCTCCAGTGTTGTCATGGTGCTTTGTTCTGAGATACTGTTTCGTGAGACCATAAGGTAGATAAATGTGTTGTTATTGTATTTCGTCTTTCATCATGTGAAGGATGATGAAAGATAATAGTCCTACTCCTAGTTTTCATTTGGGCAGTTTAATAATTCCTCCTGCTTTGACTTAACTTATACACTTACACACTTATTCACACCTAGGGGCAATTTAGCATCTCCACTCGGCCTGACTGCATGGCTTTGGACTGTGGGAGGAAACCATAGCTTTCACTGCCAAACTGCGACGCCTAAAATATGAACATCAGGGTATCTGACTGAAGCTTAAAAATCCTATAATGAGTCTGTTCATTGTTATGCTGTCACCATAACAGTCAACTTGAAACTCACCTGAGTCCGTGCTGGGAGCCAGTTCCATTTCGAAAACTGCAGTCGTCCAAGATTTACGCTCAGGAAAATCTACAGTCATTCTTTCACCATTAATAGCTGAAGATGGAGAAAAAAAGTAATTATTTACCATATACAGTTGTCACACATGTAGTGAAATTGATGTAATGACTTAATGAGCTTTGAGTCACAGTTACATTTTCCCAGTTGTGAAAATTATTGTAAATGTTCTTGCCTGTAACCACACCAACACTACTATGAGAGGCACTTCCCCATCCGTATTTTGGAGTACTAACAGAGGCTTTCACTCTGACCCGGTCTCCAACCCTGAAGTTTTCTATAACATGGTAAGAAGAAGGACTGATTTCAGTAAATAAACTAACATCACAATATTTCTGACTATTAGAAGAATATCAGAAGAATACATTTTGTTATCTAAGCAGTTATTCCAGAATGATATTTATAATAATTGTCCTAGACGGCTTCTAGCCCTGCTTGTCTGTGCCATTTGTTGTAAAGCCACTTTAGCCACTATTAACTACTCTTAAGAGAACTAACAGACACACCTTCTGAAGACACCAAAATTCATAAATAAATTCACTGACTCCTTAACTTTAATGGATTGGTTGTCAGGTCTGCACTTCCATTCTTCACTTTTATAACTTAAGAATAACTCAATTACTTTGTATTTTTTCCATGTAGTTACTGAGAAATATTCCTCAGGATGTGGACAATAAAATGGAGTTTAAGGGTAAACTGTTGGTTTTAACAATACTCTTCAGCCAAAGTGCTTTTTTTTTGAGTGGTCTAATTTGGTAAACCAATAATATTTTTAATGTAAGCTAGCAGGTACACCATAAACCATCAGTGGAAATTAACAGGTCAAAAACATCATTTCAGCAAACATTTTTTCTGAAGTCAAAAGGTCTGAATAGTAATATGTTTGTGGTATCGGGGCAGTGTTTTCACTGAATGTATACAATAAATGTGTTTGAAACAGATGCAGGTAAGAAGTATTTAACAAAGTATAAGCTAACTTTTGAGCTTCATAAAAACAAAATATATGAATGAAAGGCAGAGAGACAAATTAAATGAATTTGACATTGGGTTACAGCACCATGACCTGAGCAAGCTAAAAGCATACTAATCTGCTGCTGGTCTCATCTGATCTCATTTCAATATGACATAAAGCCTATAGTTTAATTCATTGTTTGTTTTTTTAAACAAACATTTACGTAATTTTCTCCTTTCCTTTATTATATCAAAGACATGTTTGGTGCCTGATATTTTATTCATTAGTTTTGCAGTGGCATTGCAAGGCCAACATAGCTAACAAATAATGAACGGCAAGAGCCGCCTGTACAACCTGCGTGCCTAAAGCATCATGCACTTTTTTTTGCGTGAAATTGAGTTGTTAAGTAATCTCAAATAAACTTGCTTGTAGGCTTAGCGACAAAAAGTATGGACAAAATTCATGCCTGAAGATTGCTGTTATTATCATTTATGCAGTGTACTTTTGCCCATTTTGATAGATGTTTGTAGCATTTTCATAGAATAGCAAGTATACATGAAATTACCAACAGTATGTTTTAAGGCAAGCGATCATGCAGACATGCAACTTGCATGATGCTAACAGGTGAGTGTAATTATCCATTAGTTATTAGCCTAATAGCTAAAGTGCAAAACTAAATAAGCAAACTTCAGACACCTAACATGTCTTTGCTGATCGATACACAGTGAATAGTTTAGTAAAGCACAAAGTCTGTATATACCAACTTCACTCTGTTTGACTGAATAGAAATGCAAGGTATAAACATTAATATGGTGATTTTTTTAAAACTGTCTTTGTAATATAGGCTGTAGAGAGACATATTGTCCTACCATGTATATTTCAGTGCATCGTGTGCTCAGCCGAGCTGCTGTAGTACCGTTTCTCAGCTTGTTTGGTCATTACTTGGTGTGCAGTGTGTTATTTTAAATGAAACAGCTTTATTGACAATTGTTCATAGACAGAGCTGTGTGTATGGGCTGCGTTTCATGTAGTGTAACGTTTTTATACAGTGTGAGCATTTAAATCATAGATTTTGTCCATACACAATGGTCTATTCAAAGGTACAGTGTGAGTCATTCATCTTCAACTACAGCTCAACCAGCCAATCAAAGGACTTCAACAAGACATAACACCCCTCAAGTGTTATGCTCCTCAGATTCTTTAGCTTCAGATGTGATTCCACCTGTCATTAAGCTACAAAAGCTGTTGTTAAAGAGACAGATGAGGAGCGTGAGAACATAATTGTGAGATATACTTTACTTATAGCTGTACAGAGGTGCTTTTCTGACATGGAACAAAAGCTGCACTTCTTCACTGAAACACTACTCAATCCAAGGTAACTAATGTAGCATAGCTAGCTAATGCACTTCATTTAAAATCAGCTAGATTTCAATGATGTAACTGTTATGGTACACTGCAGTCAGTTACACTTAGAACTACTTAATTCTAAGTAGGTAATCCGTTATGGTATCGGACTCTGTATCAGCAAGTACTAAAAAAACAAGTACTCATACTCGACCTGAATAAAACGGTATTGATGCATCCCGATCTGATGCTTTGAAAAATTCGCTTAAAAGGGGTTAACCTTGGAGACAGCGAGTCAAGCTTGGTGTAGCTCAGGTCATGGTGGATGAAAGTAAGGTTGTTTCCCAGCAGCAGCTCAAAAGTTGATGTGATGGAGCTGCTTGTGTCACTAAGGTAGAAGATGACTAGCCAAAGAGAACACTCAGCAACTAAGAGACTCATGCTCTGATTTGTTTAAGCTTTATTCATGTTATTCATTTCTTTCATTTGAATCAATTAATCCTTTTTTAAGCATGTAACCCATTATTTTTCTTTGCCTAAAAATATTCTTGAGGTGGATAATTGTGTAAATTTGATTTTTTGGACACATCATGCCTTTAATATCTACCTGAAGTCCAGTAATCTTATAACTATTTTGTTCATTTTCATAGTGTCACCATAATATAATTCCCTCAATCCTGGGAGTAAAAAAGGTCAGTAGACCCCTGATGTATTTCAAGGTGAGGATGCATCGGAAACCCACATTTAGTCTGTGATTCAGGAAATAATTTAAGGAAGTAACAAAAAAATAAAGACACTGGGTATCACCATAATAGTCAGCCTTACCTGAGTCAAAACTTGGAGCCAGTTCCATTTCAGAAACTGCGGCCTTCCAAGATTTGTGTTCAGGAAAATCTACAGTCATACTTTCACCACTAATAGCTGAAGATGGAGAAAAAAAGACACTGTGTACTACATAGAGCTGATACAGATGAAGTGTGATTAACATGGTTACTTAATGAAGATCTGTGAGTCACAGGGTAAATAACTATATAAACGACTCTATCAATGATAGTAAATGTTCTTGCCTGTAACCACACCAACACTTTTGTTAGAGGCACTTCCCCACAGGTATTTTGGAGAACTAACAGAAGCTTTAACCCTGACCTCGTCTCCAATCCTGAAGTTTCCTATAACATGAATAAAAGGAAATACAGATTTTACAAAGGAAATAAACATTCTAATATTTCAGATAAACATGAGAGTTCATTTGTTGTTCAAGCAGTCTAATGTTACTTACCCCATAAGGCCAAAAGTATGTGGACATCCTTACTAATCACTAATCATCAAAGATGTTTCAGCCACACCCATTGCTAATGTGTACAATTTAGCACATAGTCTTGTAGGCTCCAAAGACAAATGTTGACAGTAGAATGGGTCGTACAGAAGAGCTCAGTGACTTTAAACATAGCATTGTCATAGCATGCCACGAGTCAGTGGTAATAGCGCCAACAGTTAAGTTTGGTGGAGGAGAGATAATGGTATGGGGCTGTTTTCAAGGCTTTTCGTTTAGCCTCTTAGTTCCAGTGAAATGTAATGTTAATTCTACAGCATACAAATACTTTTTAGACAATCATATGCTTCCACCTTTGTGGCAGCAGTTTGGGGAAGAACATTTACTGTTCTAGCTTGACTGTGACCCTGTGCACAAAACAAGATCAGCCAAGATCCACACACTTGCTTTTTGCGTATTAATTATGTTGAGCTCTTTAGCAGTTCTCAAAGAAACTTGCTTGTGTTCTTTCTGATGCTGTATGACATTCAGATAACTATAAAAAAATTACAAAATTCTGGGCAAAATTTAGTCTTCATGATAGCTGCTGCTACTACAGTTCATGCAAAGGATGTTAACTGGCTATATTCAGGGTAATCTGATAACTGATTAAAAAAATAACATTTTTCACCAGGTCATTGCATTCATTTCTAACCAATAATCTACTATACCCAGTCAATTAATTATTATGGTACAACCATTATAGTAAGTCTTACTTGAGTCAGAACTGGGAGCCAGTTCCATTTCAGAAACTGCAGCCTTCCAAGATTTATGCTCAGGAAAATCTACAGTCAAACTTTCACCATCAAGAGCTGAAGATGGAGAGAAAAAAGACACAATTTACCATACACAGTTAGCAACACTCGGATTACCTGGTGATATTTGTCATTGCAACCTTTTGACCTGTTGATGGGGCAGACTAACTGATCCCATCACACAGTTATTATTTATTTAAAGTAATTGATATTATTACTTGAAAAACTGTGAGTCACGGTTACATTTTTCGAAAAGACTGTATAAATGAGTGTAAATGTTCTTGCCTGTAACTACACCAACACTCCTGTTAGAGGCTTTTCCCCACTGGTATTTTGGAGTACTAACAGAGGCTTTCACCCTGACCCGGTCTCCAACCCTGAAGGTTTCTTTATCATGGGGAAAAAAAATACAGATTTTATTAAAGAAACAAATGTCACAATATTTCAGATATTCATGAGAATTCAATGTTATCTTAGCAGTTGAAATGTTATTCAGAATTGCTTATTTACATTGATTATAAACATGCTTGTTTGTATGTGATATTTCGTAAAGACCACCTGAGTAATCATAGAAATGATCTTACAGAAATTAATAGACACCTATTGAAGGAACCAACTTTAGAAATAAAAGCCCGGGGGCGTCACTAGGCTCTAAATGCTGTTCTACCAGAGATTTTCTAACATAACACAAGAGAAGAGCTAACAAATAATAAAGCTAATAGCCACCCAGTGCATTCTGCATGCCTAAAAGCATTAATCATTGTGTGGTCTCTAACACTGTATGATGTACAGTAAATTATGAAAATTAGCCATGCTGAGATAATACTCAGTCTTACCTGAGTCAGAACTGGGAGCCAGTTCCATTTCAGAAACTGCAGCCAACCAAGATTTATGTTCAGGAAAATCTACAGTCATACTTTCACCACTAATAGCTGAAGATGGAGAGAAAAAGGTAATTATTGACCATATACATTTGTTCCACATCTAGTGTAATTGATATTATAACTTAAAGAAGAGCTTTAAGTCAGTTACTTTTCCACTTGTGAAAACGACTATAAATGTTCTTGCCTTTAACCACACCAACACTCCTACGAGAGGCATCTCCCCATCCGTATTTTGGAGAACTAACAGAGGCTTTCACTCTGACCCGATCTCCAACCCTGAAGGTTTCTATAACACACAGTTAGAAGTACTGATTTCAGTAAAGAAACAAATATCACAATATTTTGGATCATCAGGAGAATTCATTAAGTTATTTAAGCAGTTATCCCAAAATGTTACATCTAGAATTTTGTTGCATGGCTTTTTAGCCCTGCTTGTCCGTGTTTCATATTTTGTAAAGGCCAACTTAGCCACCATCATCACATCTTCCGAGAATTAATAGAAATTGACCTCTTAACTTAGTTGTAGACTTTTATACAGTGTCAGAAGCTAGAGTCGGGTTCAGACATCATTTCTGAAATGTGTCAGGCTTGAGTCGAGTTTAGATTTCACATTTGGGTTCTCACAGCCCATCTTTCCCTTTTACAAGATGTTACACTGTATTTCCCCCAGCTTTAGCTTTCCTCCTTACTTTATTCTTCCCTCCTCCATTCATCATTTTAAAAGATTTTTAATGAGCTGAGTTATTCTTAAACTAATAGAGAATTAGATCAAATTAAATTTAAAAACTGGATTATTTACATAAATTAAAATAAGTTTAATACATTTAAATACAGTTTATATGTTCAATGTAATTTGTTCTCTGTACAGAAAGAATCTTAGTAATAAAGAGGTGATGGCTAACATATCATTATACTAGCAATGCACAGCATGAGAACAGCGTATGATTATCCAGACTCAACAATCTGTTGTTTGAAAGCATTGCATAATGTTTAAACCAATTATCACTGAATTTAAATGAAATTTTGGACAGCTGACTGTTTTGATCATTCACTTTTTTAACTTATCTGTGATGTAATGAAGGCTACTATCATTAAAAATGTGATGTTTTATTCAGCACTTTAAGTGATGATGGGCCAGTTCAAGTTAAGACAAAATTTTGGCAAGTTCAGTTGATTTCGTGTTAAAAACCTCTAAATGTGGGTTAGACTGACTCTGACAGGAAACTCTTGGACTGCATTCAGGTTCAAAACAAAATTTAAGCCTGATTAAAGCTCTGTTAGAACCCTGATAAGAAAAGTTTATTTCAAATAACTTTCAAAAATGCTACCAGTATTAAAACTACGAAGCTGAAGTCAGCTTCTTATCCACCAGCTTCTTGTTAGAATGTTCCCGTTCCACCTTAAATGGTTATGTGCTGGCGCCTCAGGAATTATAATAATAACTGCTACACCGTTTAAGGTGGAACGGGAACATTCAAATAAGGAGCTGCCGGATAGAAAGCTCAACTTCAGCTTTGTGTTAAACTACAGGTAGGATAGTTTGATAGTTTAAATGTCCTAATCAGAAAATGTTTCCAGCATTAAAAGAACAATTAGGATATTTTGAAGTCTAAATCAGCTTATCAGGGGGAAGTAGTTATATTAAGGTGAATCTGTACTGGATTAGAATTTGGTAGCTAATATAGCATACATTGCTAATGTTTAGCCTATGTTTGAACTTAGTCTGAGCTGCTGACAACCAGGCATAACCAATTTTGTACTGTTTGTGGTTGTTAATATTTTCAACTGTAGAGAGATGACCACAGCCTTTTCACATCTTTGCATTTTGATTTTTTTTTTTCACATTTTTTGATATCTTTGTTTTTTGCACCAAATTATGGAGAGCAGTGCCAATAAGACCATCGATAAGTATCAGTAATGATAACCAGTATCAACATCTGTATCAAGAAAATCCTAATACCCATCCCTACTTGCACAGTTTAAAGATGTATGGTGGTCTGATGAGTCCACCTTTCAGATTGTTTATGGAACTAATGGATGTTGTTTGCAACAAGCCAAAGAGGAAAAGGACATCCTGATTGTTAGCAGCATAAACTTCAAAAGCCAGAGTCTGTCATGGCATGGGGAGGGGTATTTGTGGGTAAGTCTTTGTATCCATCCATGCTTATTTCAACATGACAACAAGAAGTCACATTCTTAACATGTTACAACAGCATGGATGTATAATTAGAGTGTGAGTGCTAGACTGGCCTTCCTGCAGTCCAGTCCTGTCTCTCACTGAAAACGTTTGCAAAATACAGCAATGAAGGACCCATATGGTTGAACCACTGAAAACTTGTAAAACAGAAGAATGGCAAAAAATTCTGCGTTCAAAACTGGATCAGTTTGTGTCTTCAGTCCCTAAAGGTTTATTAAGTACTGTTAAATATACACTTGCTTCTTTGGTTTCTGACATTGTATGACATACACTGATCAGGCATCCTTGTTTCTACTCTCATTGTCCATTTTATCAGCTCCACTTATTATATAGGTGCATTTTGTAGTTCTACAATTACAGACTGTAGTCCATCTGTTTCTCTGCATACTTTGTTAGCCCACTTTTACCCTGTTCTTCAGTGGTCAGGACCCCCATGGACCCCCACAGAGCAGGTACTATTTGGGTGGTGGATCATTCTCAGCACTGCAGTAACACTGATGTGGTAGTGTGTTAGTGTGTGTTGTGCTGGTACGAGTGGATCAGACACAGCAGAGCTGCTGGAGTTTTTAAACACTGTGTCCACTCACTGTCCACTCTATTAAACACTCCTACCATGTCAGCCCACCTTGTAGATGTAAAGTCAGAGACAATAGCTCATCTGCTGCTGTACAGTTTGTGTTGGTCATCCTCTAGTCCTTCATCAGTGGTCACAGGACGCTGCCCACAGGACGCTGTTGGCTGGATATTTTTGGTTGGTGGACTATTCTCAGTCCAGCAGTGACACTGAGATGTTTAAAAACTCCAGCAGCACTGCTGTGTCTGATCCACTCAGACCAGCGCAACACACTAACACACCACCACCACATCAGTGTTACTGCAGTGCTGAGAATGATCCACTACCCAAATAGTACCTGCTCTGTGAGGGTCCAGGGGGGTCCTGACCACTGAAGAACAGGGTAAAAGTGGGCTAACAAAGTATGCAGAGAAACAGATGGACTACAGTCTGTAATTGTAGAACTACAAAATGCACCTATATAATAAGTGGAGCTGATAAAATGGACAATGAGCGCAGAAACAAGGAGGTGGTCATAATGTTATGCCCGATCAACGTACAGTAAGTTATGAAAATTAGCCATGCTGAGATAATAGTCAGTCCTACCTGAGTCAGCACTGGGAGCCAGTTCCATTTCAGAAACTGCAGCCTTCCAAGATTTGTGTTCAGGAAAATCTACAGTCATACTTTCACCACTAATAGCTGAAGATGGAGAGAAAAAATCATTATTAACCATGTACAGTTGCTCCACATTTAATGTAACTGATATTATAACTTAATGAAAAGCTTTAAGTCAGTTACTTTTCCAGTTGCATAAATGATTGTAAATGTTCTTGCCTGTAACCACACCAACACTCCTACGAGAGGCATCTCCCCATCCGTATTTTGGAGAACTAACAGAGGCTTTCACTCTGACCCGATCTCCAACCCTGAAGGTTTCTATAACACACAGTTAGAAGAAGTACCGATTTAGATTAAGGTACTAAGATTTAGATAGGCTGATTTAGGTATTATAGACAGAAGAAGTAATAATTAAAGGTGGAATGAGAAAAGTTGAACAAGAAGCTGCCAGATAGAAGAACTACAGGCAGGACAGTTTGATAATCTTAATGTCCTTATCAGAAAATGTTTCCACCATTAAAAGAAAAATAAGGATTTTTTGAAGTCTAAATTAGTAAAGAAAATCAAAACTGGATCATTGTTGTTGTTGCTCTTGACTTTAATGCTACCAAGTTACAGTTTGAAGGCTGTGAATGTAATGTCTCTAGAGGTTGACACTGATAAGTTAATGTAAGCAATTTTGGCCTTTTGTTATGGTCCTTGCAAGGTCTTGTTTGAGCCATCCCTTTCAATACTGAGCCATCTGATTGTTTCTGTAGCATGTATTTTGCTTTTGACCTTCTGCTTGTGTTCCAGTTTTCTCATACTTGGATTTTGTCTCTGTTTGGTTGAAATCAGACTGATTGTTTTTTCTTTTCTTTAACTGGACTGGCTTTTCACTACGATTTTAGTCTTCTAAACAAAGTCTGACTATCATTGTTACACACTGTGTGGCAGACTGTTAACTATAAAAAGGGACAGAAATGCATACTACATTCAGGCTTCAACATATCTTCTACTGTTCATGCAATGCATTTATACATACAAATACATCTAAAGGCTGTCATACAGTTTCATACACCAGATAAGCAAATCTACTTAAACTTACTAACCAACTTAACCTGTTTTGAGACAAGTTTGTGATAATTGAAGCATGCGGATAGCACAATTCTAAGAAGTGTTCATTACTTGCCAGCCATACAGCTAAAGTGAAAAGCTAAATAAGTAAACAAAATATATATTGGCTGATTTGGGGCTACATTTGGGGTACACGGGATAACTGTATACATTTGACTGGATCATGGCTTTAATATCTGGCTAAAGTTAAAAAATCCCATAACTAGTCTATTCAATCATGGTATCACAGTAATAGTCAGTCTTACCTGAGTCAACACTGGGAGCCAGTTCCATTTCAGAAACTGCAGCTTTCCAAGATTTATGCTCAGGAAAATCTACAGTCATTCTTTCACCATCAACAGCTACGTAAGCAGAGAAAAAAAACACTCTTTACGGTCCTCAGTCTGGAGACTGGACACTTTAAAAACAAACAATGTTGTATTATGGAACAGGGTCACTACTGCATACTAAATAACATGATGCATTTATTTATTTATTTATTTACATTATTACCAATGTTATTCATTATCACCAATATAACAAAGCAAGCAGTAAACCTTTCCTTTACTGTTTACTGTATGTACAGTTACACTGGACATTGAAGACCATTGAACTTACTAAAAAAAACATTTCTGAAATAAATGCTGTGACAATTTAGAAACAGTGATTTTTTATGACAAGATAAAAAAGAAAATCTTCTAATAAAAGGCCCAACCCATAGAAAGACTGGCTTCTTCAGAAAAAAAAAAACATAAAAAATAGTGTAGTGTTGTACCTGCTTCTATAGACATAAAATACCTGGGGAAAAATGTCCAGTATAGATGGACATTTGGAATGAGAAGGCTATATAGCGTTTAATATTAATATCTTTATTTAATGAGTCACTGTTACATTTTTCCAACTATGTAAATGACCGTAAATGACTGTAAATGTTCTTGCCTGTAACCACACCAACACTGCTGTGAGAGGCACGTCCCCAGTCATATTTTGGAGAACTAACAGAAGCTTTCACCCTCACTCGGTCTCCAACTCTGAAGGTTTCTTTATCATGGAGAGATTAAATACAGATTTCATTAAGAAAATAAATATTATATTGTTTCAAATATTCATGAGAGTTCACTTTTTTACTAAGCAGTCAAAATGTTGTTTATAATACTAACACACACATTTTCTAAGAAGCTTATCCTTCTAGGTCGCAGGATTATGTATAATAGCTTATGATAATTATTTATAACAGCTTTTGTATTGTAAAGACCATCTGAATCATCATAGAAATGATCTTACAAAAATTAATAGAAAGCAAAACTTAAAAATGAAGTCATTGACCTGTTGGCGAGTCCAGGCTTCTATTCTTCACTCTTATGACTTAATAATAACTAAATTATTTTGTGCTGTTTTCCATGTAGTTACTGAATAATTATGCAAACTCATCTTGGTTGATCAACTACATTCAGGGCCAGTGTCAGACACCAAATAAGCAAATCTACTTGAACTTACTACCCAATTTAACCTGTTTTGAGTTTTGATTAAGTTTGTGATAATTGAAGCATGTGGATAGCACAGTGCTAAAATGTGTTCATTACTTGCCAGCCATACAACTAAAGTGAAAAACGAAATAAGTAAAGTACACATATATCACCTGATTTGGGGCTACATTTGGGGTATAAGGGATAACTGTATAAATTTGACTGGATCAATTTAATTTAGATTTAATTACTGACTGAAGCCCAACAATTCTATAATGAGTACTTTTATTACCATAGTGTCGCCATAATAGTCTGTCTTACCTGAGTCAATACTGGGAGCCAGTTCCATTTCAGAAATAGCAGCCATCCAAGATTTATGGTCAGGAAAATCTACATTCATACTTTCACTATGAACAGCTGAAGACAGTGAGGAAAAGGGCATGGTTTACCATATACAGTTGATACAGATTTTTTGGAACTGACTTTTTAATGAAGAGCTTTGAGTCCCAGTTACATTTTTTCAACTACAGTATATAAATAACTGTGTAAATGATTGTAAATGTTCTTGCCTGTAACCACACCAACACTACTATGAGAGGCACTTCCCCATCCATATTTTGGAGTACTAACAGAGGCTTTCACTCTGACCCGGTCTCCAACCCTGAAGTTTTCTATAACATGGTCAGAAGAAGGACTGATTTCAGGAAAGACTCAAATATCACAGTGTTTCAGATAATCATGAGAGTTCAATTTGTAAAATGTTATTAATAACTTTCCTACATAGCTTTTACCCTGCTTGTCTGTGACAAAGGCCACCTGAGCTACCATAGTCTTATCATATGGCACAAGTTCCCAGCCCTGGTCCTGCACATTTTACCACTGCTCCCAACACAGCTGATCCAACTTTTCCACTCATTCATGACATCATCAAGGAGCAGAGCTAGAAACATCTGTCTTACAGGAATAAATAGATACACCATCTGATGAAACTAAAAAAATGATTGATAAATAAAAAAATTAACCCCTAGCACAGTGTTTCTCAACCCTGGTCCTGGACGCCCACTGTCCTGCGCATGTTAATGCTTTCCCAGCTTTATCACAGTCACTGTACCTCCATAATCCGCTGTTAATGAGCTGATTAGTTAAGTCAGGTGTGTTGGGAGCAGGGTAAACACTAAACGATGTGTAAACTGGATTTTTGGCTCAATTATTACATTAATATCTGACAGAAGTCTAAAAACAAGTTAATTTATTGTTGTCACCATAATAGTAGATCTTACGTGAGTTATCACTGGGAGCCAGTTCCATTTCAGAAACTGCAGCCTTCCAAGATTTATGCTCAGGAAAATCTACAGTCATACTTTCACCATCAACAGCTGCAGAAGGCAAAAAAACACTATTTAATATATAGAGTTGATACAAATTTAGTGTTAGTGATTACCAAATACAGTTATCACACAAGCAGTGTAATTGATATAATTATTTAATGAAGAGCTTATAGTCACAGTTACATTTTTCAAATAGTGTAAATGATTGTAAATGTTCTTGCCTGTAACCACACCAACACTGCTGTGAGAGGCACTTCCCCACTGGTATTTTGGAGTACTAACAGAAGCTTTCACCCTCACCCGGTCTCCAACCCTGAAGTTTGCTATAACATGGATAGAGGAAATACAGATGTTATTAAGAAAACAAATATCACAATATTTCAGATAATCATTTGTTGTTTTTTCATTTGTACAACTTTATATTAGCTCAGTCACTATGTTTTGGTTTGCATGTTATTACTGAATAATTAGGATGTGGATATGAAAAAGGAGCTTAAGGGGTTAACCTTTACTGTTTCTCCTCTTCAAAAGGATTTAACATAAATTTGAAGTAATTTAAATAAGTAAATAAATAAATTGCAGTGTGTGAAAGTCAGAGCCCACTTTACATTTTATTTACATATCATTTCAGACCCATAGCAATGAGTTTTCCTCTCACTGTGAAAAGATTTTGTTCTATATCTCAAGGATTAAAGCTTTGTGTACTATTCATCTGATAGTGACAGTTTCGGTGTTCCATTGAAAACATTATGAAGAGAAAAATATGTCAATGAAGGCCTCATACAGTTACACAGATTTGCAATGGAAGATTGTTATTAGTCTGTTCTTAATAAGCACAGCCCAACACCATATTTGCATTGACTCCAAGTTTACTACTGAACTGTACTGGTCTTTTCTTCTCCTATGGGCAAACTAATTCCCATCGTTAAAGCATTCCAGGTACCCAGAAACGATGTGCCTTATCACCACTCTTGGCACTGGTTTGGATGCAACTAACCATAAAACAATGTTGCTGGACAGAATGGCACTTCAACAGGATACCCAGAATGTATGACCTCTTTCTTGTATTGCTAAGGTTTATAACCCAGCAGCTGCAGTTTAACACAGCTGTTGTGCCTTATGGAGGCCTGTTGCAGCTGTTTGTAGCACTAAGTTGTGTTGTGGAACCTGATGTTGTTTTTTTTAGCTGCTCACCAGAGCACTGGGTGGCATCATGGAACCTAGCACTGGCTTCATGGAGGCCCTCCTCATTATGATGCTAACATACCAAACAGGTAATGGACACTTATAGCCACCCATGCAAAGTACAGGCCTAAATTCAGCCTGCAGGGTAGCTGCTGTTTATGTAGTGTACATATGTCCATTTTTAAAGATCAATAATGCTATAATGAGTCTGTTCGTTATTATGTTTTCACCATAATAGTCAAGCTCACCTGAGTCAGCACTGGGAGCCAGTTCCATTTCAGAAACTGCAGCTGTCCAAACCTTATGCTCAGGAAAACTTACAGTCATACTTTCTCCATTAATAGCTGCAAATGGAGAGAGAAAGTGATTATTTACCAAATACGAATTTACACATTTTGTGTAATTGACATAATTATTTAATGAAGAGTGCTTTAAGTTACAGTTACATTTTTCAAATTGTGTAAATGACTGCAAATGCTCTTGCCTGTAACCACACCAACACTTCTGTGAGAGGCACTTCCCCATCCATATTTTGGAGTACTAACAGAAGCTTTCACCCTGACCCGGTCTCCAACCCTGAAATTTCCTATAACATATTTAGAAGTAAGAAGATACAAATATTGCAATATTTCAGATTATCAGGAGAATTCATTTTATTAGCTAAGCAGTTCTCCCAAAATGTTATTTATAATAATTGCCCTACATGGCTTTTAGCCCTGCCTGTCTGTACACATAATGTAATGCTAAAGATAAGTGTTTTTATTACAGTAGTAGAAATTTTGTAAAGCAGTTTTAATTAAATCTAGCAGGTAAATTAGAAATAATTTAATGAAATTAACATTGCAAAATCAGCAAAAACACTTGACAAATGTTCTGAATAGTTCAGAGAATCAAGCAATGTGTTTACAGTATCGAGGCAGAATTTACACTGAATGTATTTAAAACTGATGCAGGTAAGATGTGTTTAATGATAGGTTATCTTACTTTTGACCAAAAAAAAATCCAAGATGTATCGATACAATGCAAGGAGATATTGAGTTACAGCACCAAGACCTGAGCAAACTGAATGTAATTTAAAATACTATTAAATAAACCTGTGTGGTTTCTGCGACTGTATGCCAAACAGTTAACTGTTAATGTTTTAGGTCAAGCAGGTGATCACTGAGACATGCACTTTTCATAGTGCTAACTGGTGGCTCAGTAAGCATTCATTACTTCTTAATCATGTAACTAAAGTGAAAAACTAAACAGGTAAACTTCAGACACTTAACACGTCTTCACTGACTGATGGTCCTAAATATCTTTAATTTTATTGTAAATGTACTTTTAATATATACTGCATTCGTACGGATTGCTTTTCATTTTTGCCTATGATCATTGTTTATCTTCACAAGAATAAGGTGATAGTGAAGTGTTCATCTCTCCTGAGTTCATCTCTCCTGAGTTCCACTAACAGTGCATAGTTAAGTAAAGCAAGTAATATGATAATGAGATCATTGTCCTGAAGATTCAAGAGGTACAATACAAGATAAATTTTATGCTCATATGTCACTGGCTTAAGAACTATCAATTGATGGCCCAAATAATTGAAATAAATGGATTTAATCTTGGAGACATAAGGAGTTACTTGGTGTAGCTCGGGTCACGGAGGGTGAAAGTAAGACCATTTACCAGCAACAGCTCAACAGCTGATGTGGTGTAGCTGCTCGGCTTACTGAGACAGAAGATGTCCAGCCAGAGAGAGCACTTGAGCAACTGAAAGGGAGTCATGCACTAATTTTTATTTTATTCTTTTCTTCAATAAATCCTTTTTGGTCATTGCTTTAATATCTGCTTGAAGTCAAGTAATCTTATAACAAGACTAGTTAGTTCATTTTCATGGTGTTACTGCAGTAGTCATTCTTACCTGAGTCAAAACTGGGAGCCAGTTCCATTTCAGAAACTGCAGCCTTCCAAGATTTATGCTCTGGGAAATCTACCATCATGCTTTCACCACTAATAGCTGGAGAAGGAGACAAAAGACACAATATGATATATAGAGTTGACATAGATTTAGTACCAACATGACATGGTTACTTTTTAAATGATTGTAGAAATGAAAGTAAATGTTCTTGCCTGTAACCACACCAACACTCTTGTTAGATGCATCTCCCCAGTCATATTTTGGAGAACTAACAGAAGCTTTCACCCTCACCTCATCTCCAATCCTGAAATTTCCTTTATCATGAAAAGAAGAAATACTAATTTCATGAAGGAAATATCACAATATTTCAGATAATCATGAGTTAATTTGCTGTTTATGCAGTTTAATGTAACTTATAATAACGTTTTGCTGTTTTTAGCCCTGCCTTGTTTTCTATGTGGTTACTGAAGCCATACAAAGCAGTTTCTCTCTTGTTTTAAATCATGTTGAGGTTTATATTAATTCTGAAACAGAGTAATTTCAATCTACTGCTAATGTAGTTTGTAATACTGTATGATGTACTGTTAACTATAAACACAGACAACAGTAAAGACAACAGTTTTCAAGGTACCTACTATTATTGTTTATGCAGTGTATGTTGGGACAGTATGAAAAATATAAATAAAAACAGAGAGCAAACTGTTTTTAACCTGTATTCAGCTTAAAACTGTAAAAAGGCCCATTCTTTTTCTCCATTTCTGTTCAGCAGTCGGGGGTGTCCATTGTTGTATATTGCCCCTTATAATGTGCTATACATTTTAAATGGAAGACAGGAAGATAAATTGCCCAGACTGCAGAAAGTCCAATCTAGCACTGTCTTACTATGAAGCCATGCTATTGTGACATGCAGAATGCACCTTGTTGAAACAAGCAGGGAAGTCAATGAAAAAGACATTGTCTAGATGGCATCATATTTGGCTTCAAAATGCATATGTACCCCTCAGTATTAATGGTGCTTTCACAACCGTGCATGCCAACTCGAGATGGGCCTCCCTTTTTGGCCCATCTCGAGTTATATATATTATATTATATCCAAAAACAATTTGAACGTGGTGACTGGCAAACCTCAGTCCATTCATGCTTAAAAATGTCTGAACCTTTTGATAATGCTCGCACCAGCCAAATGGAAGAAAAACTAGAAAAAAAAAAATCTGTGGATGAATGAGGAAATGTGCCAGCTTAAATGAAACCGGCATAAATCAGAGCACTGCAAGTACTTTATGATATTCTCAACGAGCAGATCTCCACCTACTATAATGCCATGAAAATATCCAGTCATACCTCTCCAAAGTACTTAATAACCACAAATATCATACCAAGGTTCTTTTGTCCACCATAGACCGACTAATTAACCCTAACTTTTATGCTTGTGTGTCTCACAGTGATTTATCTTCTAAAATTTCCAAAGAGTTTGCAATTCATTTTCAAAATAAAATAGCCTTGATAAGACAGAGCATAGCTCAGTCTTTTAAAATAAGCTCCTATAACCTTCCTGATAAGCCAGCTGGACCAGTAATGACATCTTTCTCATATATATATATATATATATATATATATATATATATATATGAATAGATATCCTAGGCTCTGTTTTATCCTGCAAGTAAATGCAGTCCCTAAAGCAGCTTTTTTTGTTTGAGAAATATTGCTAAAGTTTGGCCATTTCTATCTCAGAGCGACGCAGAGAAATTTGTTTGTGTGTTTTACAAGCAGAGTTGATCACTGTACTACTCTTTTTGCTGAGCTTCTTAGGAAAAGAATCCATCCTCTACAACTCATATAAAATGCACCAGAGATCCTAACAAGAACAAAACAGAGAGCTTATATTACGCCTGTTTGAAAGAACCACGCTGGCTGCCAGTATCTTCTATGATAGATTTTAAAGTTTGGCTTTTATATCTGACTGAAGCCCAATAATCCCATAAGCAATCAATTCATTATCACAGTGTCACCATAACAGTCAGCCTTACTTGGATCAGCACTGGGAGCCAGCTCCATTTCAGAAACTGCTGCCTTCCAAGATTTATGCTCAGGAAAATCTACAGTCATACTTTCACCAGCAAGAGCTGCAGAAGGAGAAAAAAAGACTATTTACTGCAAAGAGTTGACACAGTTTTAATGCCATTGATATCATTACTTAACATCTGAGTTACAGTAATGTTTTAAATTGTGACTGTATAAATGACTGTAAATGTTCTTGCCTGTAACCACACCAACACTCCGGTTAGAAGCTCTTCCCCAGTAATATTTTGGAGAACTTACAGAGGCTTTCACCCTGACCCGGTCTCCAATCCTGAAGGTTTCTTTTACGTGGAGAGAAGAAATATGGATTTCATTAAAATGACAAGATTTTGGCTAAAAGCATAAAAACATTAGGCCTTATTCAGAATAAACAGACTCAAACGGTAAGTAGCTACAGAGTGAAAATACCTGTCTACTATATGTGTTTATTAGCAAATGATGGTCAATAAAGAGGGCTGTTGGGTTTTACCCAGTTGCTGGTTAGCTAGCTAACTTTAGGTTAATGTAAGGTAAAGGAAAGCCTAAAGGCACACTAACATTAGCAAGCTGAAGAGCCAAATGGTTTAGTCTAAGTGTGAATTTTAAGAAACTTCACAGGTAGTGAGAGTCTGAACAAATGAAATGGATATGAATAATGCTACTGACAGCTCCTTATGCTATTTATTTTCATATATATCTCTTCAGTAAAACAAAAGAGCAAAATAATGGCACTCTTCATTAAATGAAAGGCTTTACTACAACATGGGTGTAGACAAAAAGTCTCCTCAGTACCTCTTCAGTGCTTTAAAACAAGCATAGCGGCATTAGCCATATATTGCTGCTTACAATAAGTTTATGATAGTGAAAAGATCACATAAAACTGATCATAGCTCAGTTTTGTATTCCTCAATTTCTCAACCTGTAGATGTATCCAACTCCGAAAAAAAGTCCAATCCTTTTTAAACTACAGCAAGATTGATTATTCAACACTGCAAAACATGGAAACCGGGCAAGATAAATGATCTTAACTCTATTTAATATATTTAATATCTTTCATTTTGAGATTGTTGTAACCTTACTGTAAGATTTTCTTAACTCTGTTGTCTAAATTTTTCTTGATTTAGGTCATTATAGTAAGTCAGATTTTCTCACTATATTTGGCAGATATTCTTGCTTGTTTTAAGAAACATGCTTGAAACCAGCATAATTAGCTGCCACTATAGTGAGATAATCGTACTTCCCAAAATTACTCAAAGCAAGTTAAAATATCTACAAATAAGTGAAATAATCTTAAAATAAGCTTACAACAAACTCAGAATTAGAAATATTAGATATATTGACTAGATTTAAGATATTTCACTTTCACTTGCCAAGATACCATATTTTGCTGTGAAAGTGCAACTTATCTTACTGATTATTGGCTGTTTTACTCTTAAATGTATACCAACTAACCTCATAAAGAAATACAATGTGATAAATACATTTTTGGGGCCCAAATTTTGGTGCTATGCCCTTGGATGTACTACATGAAGAGATAAGAGCTCCACCGAAAGTTTGTCAGATACAGGGATATTATGGGCATGCAAAGTTCCAGGGCTCAGCCCATTTTACTGTAGGACTGTTTTCGGGTTTCCTCGAAAAAGATTTTAGAGTTTAAAAGATTTTAAAACTTTTTTGTTCAGTAGTCTGATATCTTGTCTGAATCTTCACACACTTTCCTCTTGCCTGAAATCATGTTGAGCTGTTATCGTAAATATACTTGTTTATGTGGTTTCTGACATACATTTATTTATGACAGTGCAGCTGATTAGAGGAGGAGCATAAACACTATAAAGACTGACTCTGTCCAGCATGGAGAGTGAGGAGCTTGGGCCACTGACCCATGCTGAGAGATAATGACGGGACTCTTGGAAAGTCTATTTAAGAGTTAACTTTTGGCACTATGACTGAGCTCTGCTGTTCACCTGCGCTGGTGTTTGTGCCTGTTCTCAGTAGACTTGGCCCCTTCTCAGGCCAATGTCAGAAGACTTATTTGTAGACTTTTACACAGTGTCAGAAACCAGATAAGTAAGTTCATTTAAACTTTCCAGCATGATGTGGTTTGAGGCAAGTACGCCATCATTCAGGCAAGCAGTTTGCTAAGAGGTGACTATGAGCATGCATTAGTTGTTAGCCTCATAGATAGTGCAAAATTCAATAAAATTGAGACACCAAACACATCATAGCTGATCAAGTACATTTGGGGTAAGAAAATAATTGTGTGAAATTTTTGGCTAAATCATTATTTTAATATCCTATAATAATCCCATAAGCAGTCTGTTCATTATTCATAATAGTCAGTCTTACCTGAGTCTTCACTGGGAGCCAGTTCCATTTCAGAAATTTCAGCCTTCCAAGATTTATGCTCAGGAAAATCTACAGTCATACTTTCACCACTAATAGCTGAGGATGGAGAAAAAAGACACTTTTAACTATATTGTGTTGATACATATCTATTGTAATTGTTATGATGTTATGATAATAAAGAACTGTCACCGGTACAAACAACTATAAATGTTCTTGCCTGTAACCACACCAACACTCCGGTGAGATGCACTTCCCCATTTGTATTTTGGAGTACTAACAGAGGCTTTCACCCTGACCTGGTCTCCAACCCTGAAAGTTCCTTTATTATGGAGAGAATAAATACATTTGTTTCCAGTAAGAAAACAAATATCACTATATTTTAAATATATATGTTATCTTAGCAGTTGTTACTAAATGTTACTTACAATAGCTTTTTTACATGAATTATTAACCTGCTTGTCTGTTTGTGATACGTTATAAAGACAGATGACCTTTCAAGAATTAATTAATCACTTTGCATTGGTTTCCATGTAGTTACTGAATAATAAGCCTTAGAATGTGACATAAAGAGGATCTTAAATGGGTAACTTTCATTTTTTGTTCTCTTTAATAGGCTTAAAAAAGATTGTGAAATAAAAAATAAATAAATCGCATACATGCACAAGTACATACATATACAAAGTACATATACAAATGTTATTATTACAGTATTGGCAATTTGGTAGACTGCTAATGCTTTTAATGAAAGCTAGAAGTTACATAAATCATCAGTTGAAATTGTCAGGGCGAAAGGAGAACGATGGCCTAAGTTATTAAGTGTAGTAAGAGCAATTAGGTCTCATCTAATCTCATTTAAATGCGACCTACACTGAAAACATGAGAGGTCAGCTCAATATGACATAATAAGGTAAACGATTACATAGATTTTCTTGAAGTAACTCAACTTGAGAACACTAGAGTTCACCCAATTATCTAATTGAATTGACTGAGGGAAGTCCAAGCTAGTGTGAAATAATATTTTAAAAATCTATATTATTTACTGAACTCAGATGCAGAACTGAAGAACTGCGGGAAAGCTTGACCTAACTAAGAGTTTGCATTGGGTGAACCCTCAAGTTGAGTCAACTCAAGAAAATTTGAGTAATCAGATGCCTTGTAATTTTAAGCTTTATAACACCATAAAGCCTTTAGTTTAATTCTATGTTTTTCATACCAGTGGTTGGCCAGAAATTCAAATCAGCCAAAACATGTTTGATGTCTGAAATCCGTTTCTTTAGTGCACACTGCATGTCTAAATTATCACACACTTGCTTAAAAAACATGTTGAGGTATATGGTCATTCTCAAATAGCTTGCTTATGTGGCTTGTGAACACACACACAAAGAACTAATTGTTAACTGCTAACTGTTTTGGTAACTTTGGCTAGCAGTTAATTTGAAATGCTGCAGTAAAATGACTTCATCTTTGGTTTGTGTGTAGTCTAATGGACTTCAAATAAAAATATGTGGTCTTTTTGGTGTACTTATTGGTAATTGTCATTTTATAACATTTATGCAATATACATACGTATATATATATATATATATATATATATATATATATATATATATATGTATGTCCATTTCTCTAGATACAAATGTAGTGCATAGTATATAGACTGTCATACAGTGTCAGAAACCAGATAAGCAAGTCTATTTAAAATAACATGATGTGTCCTGAAGTGTCTGATTATTTTATTATTATTTAGGCACAATGTCAACTTGTGACTATATAAGCATTACATGTTAACTTCATAACTAATGTGCAAAACTAAAAAAGGAAACTTCAGACACCAAACACATCTAGGCTTATTGACTACAGGGAAAGGGAATAAAATCAATTATATTTAATATCTGACTGAAGCGTAATAATCCTATAATCAGTTTACTCATTTTCATGACCATAATTGTCAGTCTTACCTGAGTCTTCACTGGGAGCCAGTTCCATTTCAGAAATTTCAGCCTTCCAAGATTTATGCTCAGGAAAATCTACAGTCATAGTTTCACCACTAATAGCTGCAGAAGGAGAAAAAAGACACTTATTACTCTGTAGAGTTCATACAACTTTAGTGTAATTGATATAATTGAAGAACTTCAAGTCACAGTAACATTTTTCCAATAGCATAAATGACTGTAAAGTGTTCTTGCCTGTAACCACACCAACACTCTTGTGAGAGGCACTTCCCCACTTATATTTTGGAGTACTAACAGAGGCTTTCACCCTGACCCGGTCTCCAACCCTGAAGTTTTCTATAATATGGAGAGAGGAAATACAAAATCACAATATTTTAGATAAGCGCAAGAGTTCATTTGTTATCCTAGCAGTTAAAGTGTTACTCATAATGTACAAAGTTTGTTTATCAATTTGTCTGTGTCATGTGGTAAAGACTAAGTCATAGGAATCATTTAAGAATGAATAGACACAACTTCTAAAGAAATAAATACTGATAAATGAAGACATTGACCCTTTAAGTTTCACAGACCTGTCAGTGGGTCCACACTTCAATTTTTCACACTTAATAATTAACAATAACTCACTCACATTGCTTGTGTTGCATGTAGTTACTAGATGATAAGCTTTAAGAAGTACTTGTGAGCTGAAAGGGTCTACTTTTACTTTTTTTCCTCAAGAGGATTTTTGAGGATTGTGAATTAAATAAATAAACAAATAAATAGCCAGTACTGTGCAAAAATCAGAAACCACCTTTCATATTCTTCATTTCCAGTCAAACTGTCCTTTAATTATGTAAAATGTGCATTTTTGGCATCAGGAGGAAAAAAAAGAAACAGAAAACATAAGTTTGCCAGAAAAGTATGATTACATTCCATGCATGTAGTAAGTATATAATGCCAAAATTGTGTGCAGGGGCGATTTAATGCACCTGTTTGCCTGGGCTGAATTTGACTTAGAAGTTACAACTAGATACTTATAGGAAAATATGAGCTTAGAAAAGGAGAAGAGGGAATGGAATGCTGAGTTTATTAATTGTTCCATGCTAATAATGCTAACAGTTCTGCTGTGTTTAAATCAGGAAAAGGGGCATATTTGCCCCTTTGCAAACAAACCTTGGTTGTTTTGCTGATGTTAATGGTTTTATCGAGTAAGCTGCACCACACTTCAGTGGAGAAATGTTGCAGTATCACACAGTGGATTGGACAGAGCGCAGATATAGCACATATGAAATCATGTTCATCTCAAGTTCAGGATAAGTTTATATTTTATATTCTTTCTTACTGTACTCATATGGTTGTAATGTAACTTAGGCCTACTTCACATATAGCATGCATGGCGTGAGTGACGCAGAGCAGCAGAGCGTCGCAGACACAGCACTGAAGCAGCATGGTAATTAGAGATTCCATGTACTGCAGGACACACAACAAAATAAACTGAGATAAAAGATGAAATGAAATTAAATGAAACAGAAAACCAAAAAACAACTTTTTAAAAATGCAAATTCTTTCATTTGATTTAATACATGAATATTATCAAACTAAATATTAGTTTTAGATTCCATGTTACATCCACACAGAAGTATTACATGTGAAGCAGGCCTTACTTTTCACAACCCACTGTTTTCCAGCTAAAAAGTATGAGGTTAAATGTGACTAGGGTAGTAACTATAGCTGAGATAAAAAAAGATGATTAGCACTTTAGATTGACTACATTCTCAGTGTAAATTTAGAATCTTAACCGACTGGTCTGGTTCTGGGTTTAAGTTACTGCAATAATGGAGAGATGATGAATGGCAGTGCTGGATGCTGGATGTCTCTGACTGGCGGTGGTGGTGAGTGCACATTCATTGAAAAAAATGGTTTTGAATTTTTGGATGCTATGTGCCGTTTGATGCATGGTTACGTTAGGCATTGGTTCTGCTGATTCTTAGCCATGTGACTACCTCTTTCCATGCTTACTAAAACTGGTGTAATTTGCCCACATCAGTCAGGAGGGAACTCAGGTATGTTGTGTTGAATTATACTGATTTCATGGATTTTAACCACAACCATAGGGCTCACAAGTCTCACAAGCAGGTTAAAGCACCCCTGAGTGCACACATTGGTTCTTAGACCTCTGAGGTATCCATGCTTTACATGCTTCATTTTTTTACATTCAATTATCTATGTTATTTAGACCCAGGACTTAATTGCCTTCCTCTTGTTCGATATCCACTCCCACGAGAAGCTGTATAAAGGCCAGTGTCACTATCTGACTATTAACACTATTGCTATGCATAACCCTACAGCCAGTTCACACAGTTCACTTCATGTACCTCAGGTAACCACATTAGTTTTTTTTTCATAGATAATGTCACATATTCTCTCTCTCTTTACTATACAGTTTTTTACCTTCTTTAAATCTGTACCGCTCGCTAAAGATGCACCAATATCGCTTTTACTCTTCTCATACCAATACCGATACCTGTTCCTTAAATATATGTTGATACCGAGTACTGATACCAATACTAACTTTATCTAACCTAACTAACATATACGTCCTAAAATTTATACAATTCCATTTCAAAATATTTTATTTTGGTAAAATCCATGTTCTGTGTCACAAGTAAAAAATACTCAGCTTGACTAGGTAGATGGCAAGAATATTTTTGATTAGTTACTGTATTTAGTATTTTATATCATGTATTACTAATATGGATCATGTTTAACAAGTTAAGTAAGTGTAAAATATCTTTATTGTGCACAATACACAGAACTGATCAATATGGAGGTAAATCTGTGGAGTGTACACATAAGCACACAGCAGCTGCTCTGGCTTGGCAAAAACACAGCCAAATGTTGTTTTACGTCCGGATTTCTCAAGTCATTTGTCTCATACATGCACCTCGTTTACTCACACATACAGCTCTGAGCATCAGACTCTGCCAGAGTTTAGTAAATATTACAGTCGTTCACGATGTCAGTAGCAGCAACTTTCAGCATTTTTTCCAGAATAGGCCATGTGATCCAGCTAACAGAAGTAGGCACACAGCAGGCGGGGGTAGTGGACACAGTAGCCCAGCTAGAGCCAGTTTATGAGAAGCCTGGCCACTTCCTATTCCCCCCATTATATCAAAAACAGGACTGCTAAACAGCAGAGGCCGCTCACAAGTGAGTCCTCAATGAATGGGAGTAAATGGCGCTCAACGGCTAAAAACGAAAAGTTAAAATAGTTTCTAATGACTTGCCCAGAACGTTTCTTTAATTTTAGAAAGTAGAAGGATGTATTTCACTAAAAAAACAAAGAAATCTTACCCATATATTTCCTTTTTTGTACAGCAAACAGGTTTTGGGCGGCATTATTAAATTATTATTTTCTATGTGAAATATATTTCTGTAGGCCTAGCATAGGTTAAAAACCTTCAGTCTAGAAAAGCCCTGGCTGCATCTGTCTATCTATCTATCTGCATCCATCCATCCATCCATCCATCTATCTATCTATCTAAGCAAGTTTATTTGAAATTACTTACCAATATGTTGGCGTTTTTAATGTAATCATTTACATATTTTATTTTAATGTAATAAATAAGTAAACTTCAGGCAGCAAACACATCTTGGCTACTAGACTTTTGAAGTAAAGGTATAATTGTGTAAATTTGATTTTTGGCCAGATCATAATTTAAATTTTTGTCTGAAGTCCTTTCATCCTACAACCAGTTCCTTCACTATTATGGTGTCACTTTAATCGTCAAACTTACCTGAGTCAGCACTGGGAGCCAGCTCCACTTCAGAAACTGCAGCCTTCCAGGATTTATGTTCAGGAAAATCTACAGTCATATTTTCACCATCAACAGCTGAAGATAGAGAGAAGCATTATTTACTACATACAGCTGATACAGATTTAGTGTAATTGGTATGATTACTTAATGAAGAACTGTAAGTTGGTTACATTTTTCAATTCTGTAAATGAACATAAATGTCTGAAAATGTTCTTGCCTGTAACCACACCAACACTCCTGTGAGAGGCATCTCCCCACTTATATTTTGGAGCACTAACAGAGGCTTTCACCCTGACTCGGTCTCCAACCCTGAAGTATCCTTTAACATGGAGAGAGGAATTGCTGATTTACTGATTTATACTGATTTTTTATATAAGTAATGAATGCCCGCTACGTAAACCAGGCTTGGATCTATAGCATTGTCTCCTATATAATCAATATTCAACATTCAATATTTAACATTCAACATTCAATACAACATTCTCGACATGCTTTTTCCTGTGCGTAATTTAAGAAGGGAAGTGTGGTGAGATACCTCACTCTGTTATCAGAGAAGAAAAGTTACACAAATAAGCAAAAATCCTCTTTCAACAGTCATTCATTATCTAATTAGCTTGGTTTGAAAATAAGAGACGACTCTGCACCCTTCACCAACCACCTGTAGGCAACAGAGAACAGAGAAGCTTGTCTTTCTTTGAAAATGTGTGAACATTTTGGGGAACTGTGTGTGAGTGAGAAACACTATTTGTAATGCCATATGATGGATATAATTCAATGAAGTATGTTGGGGGAACAACCGTCTTTTCTTCTTGGTGAGAAGGGAGGTTGTGCTGGACCCGGGAGGAGACAGAACGGGTAGCTTGTTTTCCCCAGTAATGAATGACCCCTAGAAGACGCAGTAAACATCTTCATCGAACTTATCACTGGATCTCCTCATGTCTCTGTATATCACCCTTGGCTGACACTTCTCTTTCCAGAAAAAACAAACCCTGTCTTCCTCCACAGCATTTACCTACAACTTCAGATAACTTGTTACATTGCCTGCTGACACTCCATGCAGTACCGCTCTACGATCATTTTTCCTTTCCTAGAAGGTGTCTTTATCCTTGCTATCTTTGGCCTACTAAGATGCTCGGAGCTTTCAGATGTGTTCAACCTGTCTCTCCATCCTTGCTTTTCTAAACTCACCATACTTTATATGAACACACTGATACTCACTTTAGTATGTATTAAGACAGATCTTACTCAGAATGTTCCTCTCTACCTATACCAATTAAAGTCCTCTCTTAGTCCATACAAACCTCTAGTGCACCTACTCTAACTCAATTAATTATAGACCAGTTTCTCTGCTCTCCCAGTTCTCAAAGATTTTAGAAAAACTATTTTTTTAAGAGTTACATTGATAATAGATATTAATATGTACAAATAAATAATATCAAGTCTAAACTATTGAAAGTCACTTGTGGAGTTCCACAAGGTTCATTGTTAGGACCCATATTGTTTACACTGTATATAAATGATCTCTGTAAAGTGTCTAAATTTGTTTTATTTGCTGATGATACTAATTTATATTGCTCTGGGAAAAGTTTAGAACAGCTACTGAATACAGTGGGAAGGGAATTGAAAGTTTTAACGAAATGGTTTGATATTAACAAGTTATCCCTAAATTTAAGTAAAACAAAGTTTATAATATTTAGAAATTGACAAACCAAGAATAAAGTTAAAATTATGATTGATGATGTTGAAATAGAAATGGTCTATGGAAACAGATTTCTGGGTGTGATAATTGATCATAAATGATGTTGGAAACAGCACATAATGTAAAAACTAAAATGTCTAACACTACTGTAATATTATATAAAACTAAAGATATCTTGAATCAAAATTCACTCTACATTCTGTACTGTTCCTTCATGATTGCGTATGATTTATAAAGGGTAGTCAAAATAAGCTATAGCTTCAGACTATACCCTTTTGGTGAGTACTTGTTTTTGTATTGATTATTATGTCCATTAATTTTATACCTATAATTGTTCCTTTTATTTTTGTATTACCTATTATTTTTTTCTCTCTTATTTTTACGTGTGTAAACACCTTGATAAACCGAAATATTAATTACTAAATTATAATTACAATCACTAACAAAATGCATTATAGTGTGACCCATTTTTCATTGCTGAAACCAGTGTAGTTGTATCATGCCACTGATTCTACACTCACCTGCGCCCAATTTTCTCTAAGCGGTTATCCTCCAGGGGCTGTATTACAGAAACATTTCAACTCTGAAATCTTATCTGTGTAGTCACCGTAACAACTCCAGTTAAGACTGAATTTAGAACAATAGCTATTGCAGAACAACAGCTCTTAAGTTCATTATCTTATCCTAACTCCAGATCAGAAAACGGTATTACCGAAACATCCTAAATCATGAAATGTCCTAACTTTAGGACTACCCCAATGGTGTCCTAACTTCTGTTTTTACCGTCCGTTTCTATAATCTCAACTGTTATAGGCAGCATAGAGTTTTTTTAAAAATCCCAGACACTGAGGACACAGTCTCCACTGTCCCCTATTATCACCTTTTTGTGTTTATGATGATGAAAACACATCAAATTAAATATTACAATGATAGTGGTGAATAATGTAGAGAGGCTGCCTACTATGCAACCTATAAATATGTGCTGTGATTGGACATTTCAACAAGATGCACGGTTCGACAGAACACTGGCTAAAGCGTTTGGGAAATGGAAACCGAAACTGAAACTTAATCTCTAGTTTATTACACTTTAGTTTTGCTTTGACCTTTTTTAATTGGTTAGGGCTGGTTTGACAGCCACTGCCATAACCAGTAGATGTACTATTATGGTGTCATCATAATAGCAGATCTTACCTGGGTCTGTACTGGAAGCCAGTTCCGTTTCAGAAACTGCGGCCAGCCAAGACTTATGATCAGGAAAATCTACTTTCAAACGATCACCCATAAGAGCTGCAGAGAAACAAAACACCACTGTTTTTTGTGTAATTCATATATGATTACTTAATACATGTGAGTTACTGTGAGTTAAGGTTACATTTTTTCCAAGTGTATTAATAACTGTATAAATGACTGTAAATGTTCTTGCCTGTAACCACACCAACACTCTTGTGAGAGGCATCTCCCCATCCATACTTTGGAGAAGTAACCGAGGCTTTCACCTTTATTCGGTCTCCAACCCTGAAGCATCCTATAACATGGATATAGGAAGTATTGATTTCATTAAAAGAAAGAAATATAGTATTTTAGATTATCATGATGGCTAATTCATCATCTAATAAGCTATGACAAAAATTACTTGATATTATTATATTACACTCAAAAAACTTTTTTGGGTGAAAACATTGTCACTGGGGTGGTTCCCTCAAGAGCACCTCTTTAATACCTATTCTTAGGGAACATAGCTGTATTCCATTGCAGTTATATTTTTCAAGTTGCATTGACTCCATTCACCATGTTTTGACTCCAGCCTATTTATTTTATTTTACTACTTACTAGTGCCCCTTTCCTCTGGGAAAGTGAATGTGGTGTACCTTTAAAACTATTTTAAAGTACACAATTATATATAAAAGTACCCACTTTAAAAAAAGTACATTATAGTATCTCTCTTTCAGAAGCATCAGCAACTGATAAGTAAGACATTCACCTTTAAATTATAGACATAAAAACTCATAAGTAGTGAAAAATTTAAGTTCAAAAACCAATCCCTGTAGGGTCGTCCAGTGGCATTGGTCCTAGGAGAGGTCCTAGGAGAAAGAAAGGAGCTTTGTAGGAAATTTGAAAATCTCCTTTTCAGACTCTGCATCAGTTATAAATCAGTGCCATTCTAAAAACATTGCCCATCATTTATGATTTAAATGTTCCATGTGAAAAGTGCATGCACCCTGATGGGTGCTGCTTGCAGTGCAGTTTGTGGATGTATCTAAGCTCTCTTTGCAGTTATGACTGTCCATAGAAATCAAGGTGTTCTACAGCAGTTTTAGATGAAAATCAAATGGAAGTTGATTGTCTAAGTTGCTAATGATGACACATTTGATGTTTCTCATCTACCATTCGAAAACTTTCGAAGAATTCCAAATATGTGAAAATAAAACCATCTTCACACTCATGAAGTGTGGCTCTCCTTATTGTTATCTTTCTTATAGTTCTGATTGGCCCATAAAAAATTAATACTATAAATATGGGTTGCCTGAATAATGACCGTGAGCTGCTGCTGTACTGTGCTGTGCTTGGGGGAGAATGATTTCCTGGGTGCTTGGCTGACAGAATAAAAGATGACTGAGAGAACGTAGAGGAAATCATAACTAGATTCTAGGCTCACCCATCCTGAATAAATCCACGTTAGACAGGAGTTGCTGACCGTTATCACTCATTTTTTATTCTTGGAAATTCTAAAACATACAATCTATAATCAGTTTTCCCTCTTTCTCACTCAGATCAAGCTCCAGGATCCCAACCAGCCTGGTATCAAACTGGCACACTCTACACAAACTGGCCTTTTAGCAGTGTTGGAGTAACTCTGTAAAGCAAGATCAGCCACACTGTGGACTTGACATACGTACAACTACTCTAGTGCATTTCATACTGATTGCATTACCTTTCCAGGAAGCTTAGTGCCCAACTTCATTCCCTTAAGCAGAAGAAGAAATTTACATCTTGGAAAAGCACTTTTAAGATCCACTTGTGTTTTATTTCTTTTTGCATCTTTGCATTTTTTGAAAGATGTTCACTGACTGCATATAGCACATGATCATGCCTGGTATTTTCAAGCTACCTCATCTCACTTTTTTAACAATAAAATGAATCCAGTATTAATGACTTACAAGTGCACTCTCTGAATGTTTGTGATAAAATGATGTAAAATTAGTTTCTTTTATTAGGTATTTAGTGCATTGCTACTGCAGAATTAGGACTTCCATAATGAAGGACCTTTCCTGTGGAAAAGCGAAATTCTATCATGCAACTTATGTTTTTAACAAAAGACAAAACAAAACAAAAGTTTTTTTTAAGTATTATTGGTTAAACCATTTTATAAAATACTTCACTGTGTATTTTGTGTTAAAAGAAGAGAACGCATTAGTAAGAGACACTCATTTAGTTCATTTGTCACTTTAAAAACTGGTATTTACTCACCACAGTCAGTGACCCTCTTATGAAGTCCATCTTTCTCCCTTTGTAACTGGTCCAACTGGATTATTGTGGTGTTGTAACTGGTCTCCCATTTTTCCTTTTCTTGAGTTAATAGCTTTATTTTGTCCTGTAACTGGTCTCTTTCTATCGTTAGATTGTAACTAGTCTGAAACTGGGGTCTCTCTAGCATCAGGCTGTTGTAACTGGCCTGTAACTGGTCTCTCTCTCTCGTCACATTGTTGTAACTGGCCTGTAACCTGTCTTTCTCTGCAATCAACCTGGCATGCAGCACTATGATGGTAGGCAGCAGGACAACGCACAACAGGCCCAGGCTCACTCCAGTCACTTTGTAGCATCTGCTTTGTGGCATCACTTTGTAGCATCTGCTTCGTGCAGTGTTGAACACTGAAACTATACAGAGTAAGTCTATAAGATGCATCATAGAGCTGGCAACTGAGATGTTATTAATTACTCAGCTTCCCATAGAGAATTTGTCTCATCTGTTCTGAACAGAGCAGAACTAAATTCATTTCAGAAGGATAACTGGGGGGTTAATGTTTCTGTTTAAATCATTAATCATTTCCATTGAGAAACATTTATGTACTGGCTTAATCAGGGTCTGAATTATGCATAGGCACAGCAGTAATTATGCTCATAAAACAGGTGTGTTAAAAGAGAGACATAATGAGTTACGTATAACACTTCACCATGTCCAGTTAAGGCCAATATACAGTGGAATCCAAAAATTTAAGACCACATCAAACAACACTTTTTAATAGAAACAACAATGTTTTGGAACCTCAAAAAATTAAAAGAAAGAAAAATTATGAAAATGAAAATGAAGAAGGAATATTCAACATTTTGCACTATTCCAGGATCACTATTCAAACTGAGAAACATTTGTGAAATTGACCCTGTTAAGGCCTTTTTAAGGGCCTTTTTTCCTAGTCTTTTAATTAAAACACATTTTCAGATAACTCTCAAGTGGATTTGATCCACTGATCCTCTGAGTCTGTGCCAGCTTGAGCACACACTGTCATTAAAGCAAAAATGGGCTGTACCAAATACTAAGAAATTCTTAAATTCATGAAGCATTTAAAGATTCTACCTTGCACTCAAAGTGTTATGCTGATAATATCATTTGTGATGATAACCATTGTATTAAATTAGAAAGGAATGCAAAATAGAAGCATTTTCACCAGTGGTCTCAGACTTTTGGAGTCCACTGTACTTTGTGTTACCTTGGGGTGTCCAGTCTTATCTGGAGGTTTTCATTTCAATTAGGTAGAAGCGCACCTGATTTTACTTGTTTAATCAGTTGTTCTCAATTCATTTGCTGATCAGGTGCACTCCTGCCTTGTTGGAATTAAAACTTGCAGCCACACCAGCCCTTTGAAGATAAGACTGGACACCCCTGCTTCAACACAACCAGATTCTAATCTTCTTTACTACAGGCCATGTGTTTAGATTTTTAACAGAAAAATGACAAATTCTGTTCTGTTCTTAAGGTGTGACACAAAATATACCGTAATACAGCTCTGTGGAAAGATAGTAGGATGAGAAAAAAGAGGTAATGTGTGTGCATGTGCTCATGAATATACTGTACCTAAGTTCTCAGGTCCCATACTGCTTTTGGTCCTGCGAGTCTTGAAGTTGTCTTCAATCTCATAAATCTCTTCATTTGGGTTCTCGTCGACACTTGAATCATCAATGATTTTTGAATATGCATAAATTTTCTCAGTCATCTCCATTTTGCTCTCCTCTGATGATTGTTATCTTGTATTGAAGTGCAAATCAGTTCAGCTGTTTTGATTCATATCAGTTTGGAATGTTTGACTCTACATGAGACTCAAGCAACGTAGCGGTTTGAAATAAAATTCTGAGTCACTCTGAGCATGGTACTATTGTTTTGAACGTGTATGTCCTCTTTTATTAATTTTGTTTGCTGATCTTGCAAGACTTGGTTTCAATATATTGTCTTGCAAACTAAGAGTTTTTTGAGGAAAGAGAACTCCAGACTTGTGCAATCTCTGGTAGAAAGAAAAAAATGGCCTGAATTATACCTTGATGTCGACCCTAAAGTACAGCTGTTGTACCCAGAGATGTGGGCACTTGGACTGTTTTGTCTGAAAAATATAACGGGGTCACTTTGTAAACCTTTGAGGCTGTGCTTTAGAGAGGTGATGCGTAGTCCTGCTACACTGCCTCCTTCTTTATACACTGTGACAGTCAGTCTTCTCGAGATGAATGAGGGTAGGATCAATGACCTTCAGAACAGTGACGAAATATTAAACGTTAACAATGTTATTTAAAAAACATACTTTAGAAGTACCCAAGTCCACCTTCTCACCTAAAAGTGATCAGTCACACAGGAAAGAACTTCAAACCTGTGCAGTCTCTGGGGAACAAAGGAAAGGAAATGCCCAGAATTGATTTGTTAACTTGGCAGTAACCCTAGGGTATAGCTGCTGTGGGTACTGTTTTGTCTAAAAGTATACTATATGGCCAAACGTTTGTGGATACCCCTACAAATTATTAAATCCAGGTGTTGCATAAAATCAAGCACATAGCCGTGCAATCTCCATAGACAAACACTGGCAGTACAATAGGATCAGATTGAAGAGCTCAGTGACTTTAAGTGTGACACTGTCAGAGGTTTGCCACTGCTGCCACATGTCAGTTTGTGAAATATCTGTCTTAATTAACTGTAAATGCTGCTATTGTGAAATAAACCCTAAAGTAGCCGACCACATAAACTCACATAGTGGGTTGCCGAGTGCTGAAGTGCACGTAGCATACAAATCACCTGTGCTCTGTTGCATCCCTGGACCCCTTATTTCCAGTCACGGATAATGTTAATGCTACATCATACAAAGACTTTTTAAACAATTATATGCTTCCAACTTTGTGACAACAGTTGGGGGAGGGCCCTTTGTGCCCCTGTGCTCAAAGCGAGATCCATAAAGACATGATTTGATGAGTTTATTGTGAAGGAACTCCAGTGGCCTAAACGGAGCCTTGACCTCAACTCCACTGAACAATGAACTGGAGATCAATTGTTACGTGCATTGTGAGCCAATGGAATGGGATAGGATGTACAGCAAGCTCATATGGTTGTGATGATCAAGTGTCCTCATACTTTTAGCCATATAGTCTATATTGAGGTCTCTTTGTGAGCTTTTGAGGTAGTGCAAGGGAAATGATGCATAATCATACTGTTCATTCTTTTCTCATGTTTATGACAGTTAGGCTTTTTGAGAAGATGAATGAGAAATTGTTTTGTGATGTATATTTATGTAGACATTATGTCCACTGGTTCTTATCACCACTACTGTAAATAAATCAGAGTTGTTACAATCTCTACAATGAAATATTTCATGTCAAACCGATCTGAATTATTTTCTTTACATCTCTATGGCACACAGACAATCATGCCACGGGCACAGCTTGGTCATCAGTGTGTCACCAGTCTAGTCTGGTCAATTTTGAAAAATGGTGGAATTCTCCTATAAGCTTTTACATCCTCGTCATAATTTAACTTGCTGATTTTACAGCATGCTTCAAAGTGCTGACCTGACAAACTAAATAAAGGCTGTTGTACGTCAAGATGTGGATACTTGGAATGTTTGATTAATAAAAAGCAATCAAAACAATACTTCTTTGAGGTCAGATCATAAGCTGTGAGCTTGTGCTTTAGGGAAGTGAGATGTACTAGTACAGTTGTACTTCTCTTTCTAGAGAACAAACAGTTAGGGGACTGATCTATAACTATCTGTTATACTTCTACCTTTGGTTTCCAAGACACACAGAGTGTAACTGACAGTAAAAGATGTATCATGTTCCTCATATTTTGTAAAACACATGGTCATCATGTTTTTTGTTAGCAGTATGGCACAAAACAAATTTTTAATGATACTCTATCTATATAATCTACCATATTACTAGATAGTGTTAGAAATTTGGCAGGAAAAGTCAGGAGACTGGAGCTTTGGCGTTGACTGGAGTTTATTTTCACACACAGAGTATGGGTACAGCATGGTTGATCAACAGTCAATCAGCAGTATCAGGAGTCTAGTCTTATTCATGTGCATGCAGACAATCATGCCACGGGCACAGCTTGGTCATCAGTGTGTCAACAGTCTAGTCTGGCCACCAGTCCATTCTAGTCCAGTCTGATCAGTAGTCCAGTCTGATGAATACATGGTCTGATATGGTTTAAGTAGAGATACTGGGGGTTGGGGCAGGAAGCAAAGAGGGAGGGGAAGTAGGTGACAATCAAAAGGTTGGGGAAGAAGGGAAAGAGGGTCTGGGGTCAGGAAAGATAAAACAATACAGATAAAACACCAAAAGGCACACAACTGTAAGACAATACAGCTGACACGACAAAAAGACAACATAGGTTAGAGCATAGAAGAAAGCAAACATGAAAAGACCTATACTTTCCTTGCTTTGAGGATTAGGACATGATAAAAAATGTTTTAAAAGCTTTTTTAACCACAGACGTTGTTACTTTAAAACTATAAAACTGTTTGGATCATACTATCACTGGAGTTTCTTTGTTTCTATACTTTTTTACTGGTTTGAAAGTTTAATTGGAAAATGTTATGGGGAAAAAAGGAGGCAAATTTGGGGAGACAATATTTTCCATGATGTTTCACACATCAATTATATTTCATTGATTGCAATGTAAAAACACACCATGAGTACAATCAACTGTACCAATAAGGAGCCCCTGTCAGTCTGCAGCAGAAGAAACATCAGAGGCTCATTCACTGGGTCTCATTCACCAACTGTTCTTAAGAAACAGTTTCTTCTTAAAACCCACATACGCAGTTTTCACAAACATTCTGATGTTCACCAATGTTTTCTTATTTGGGATTTATTCTTAAGCAAGATCATAATCTATACACATTTAAGAGCACAAAGGTGTGAACAGTTCTGCGGTTTAAGAACACGTCATGAATCTGACATAAACTTTTTCTTAGAACCTTCCACAAGAACACATTTAAGAAATAACTTGGTATTGGTAAGTGAGGCCCATTATCTGTATCAGCCGATGCTATTGGTTTAATATTGGCATTAGAAAAGAAAACGTGGTATCATCTATAGGTAGCATTGCATGTAGGCTACAGCCTCTCAGTGTTGGTGCCCCCCACTTGTATGATGAAAACTGCACCCCTGCTTGTGAGACACAGGGCTGTCCCTTCCCCTCCACCAGGGAAAATGTCCAAAGTGACATTCTGTAAGATATAAAGGAGAGAGATGACAGAAGAATGCAACAGCAGCCCTTACAGAAAGCTGAATTCAACCACAGGTAGGGGGATTTCTGTATAATTTAATTTCTGTATAATTTAATTGTTAAGGTGTAAACAAACTCATTCAGAGTGGTTTGACTTAAAATGCTCAGTTAAAGAAATGGACAGAGACAGAATTAGTTACAGTGGTGTTGATAAGAACCAGATGTCTGAATACTTTGCCTGATGCCTAAGACATTGTTTTATGTTCATTCTGAGAGAAGGTTTTGGCCTGAAATGTCATTTTTTTAAATCCATTCATGGAAAAGGAGTGCATGCAAAACAGTACACGAAGAAAACTTTTTTCTTTCTGATTTACCACTATATTTCCATGATTAACATGACATATAAAAAAGATGACATGTAGTTTCACTGGTGGTTTTGGATAGTAATTAAAATGGTTATATTTGTGTAAACACCATGACCCCTGGTTCCTATCCTCACCACTCTAGATAATGTGAAGACAATGGAGCACTTTCACATCAAACCATTTTGAATGATTTTGTTTACATCTTTTCTTTTATCTTTTACACAATTTAATTTTGCAGATATTTCGAAAAATTTGTGAACTTCTTTTTTAACCGATTTTCCTATTGGCACTGCTTTGTCCACTTGACAGGATCTAAAGGTCCCTTTTTAGTGAGTTCACTGCGCAGGCTAGTGATGTCCTAGTAGTTAAACCTGCTCTATGTAAGTTTTGGGGATTTGGACCAGGGTCCTTTCTGTGGGGAGTTTGCATGTTCTCACCGTGTCTGTGTGGGTTTCCTCCCTCAGTCCAAAGACGTGCAGTCAGGCCAATTGGACATACTAAATTGCCCCTAGGTGTGTGGTTGTGCTTCAGACCCCTTCCCAGAGCAGAAGAATGATGTTTGTGAGTGCATTCAGTCAAAACCTGGTGAAGGACATGTCCTCCAAGGATGTGACTTTTACATTTAAGACATTTTTGAGTCTGTGTGTGTGATGTTAATATGAAAAGATGTATGATATGGTCCAAAAAACTCAGTCTAGACACCACTTTTAAGTCATTTTCTTTGTCTTTATAGGGTGACTTGCAGCAGAGTATGCCACTATATTTTAGTGTGTTTTTTTTTTTCTTCTGACTCAGTGATGCTGCTTCTTTTAATTTTAACAAAAGCTCTTACATAGTGCGTCTTTAACCATGATCATATGATCATAGGCCAGTCCCAGGTACTGTGTTACCTCCTTTTTGGTTTTGGGCCTTGGGCAGGCCATGATTGCAGCAGTCTTGTCAATTTGGGGATGCAGGTCCTCATGATCCAAGTGAAAGCCCTGATACACTATCTCCACCATCTGTGCCATTCTTAGGGTTATGTTTGTCTCACTCATCTCAGGGATCTCAAGACAGCTTTCAAATGCTGGACGTTGCTCTACCAGTCCTTACTATGGATGATCGTCACCATGACGTCAGTACCTGTGATGGGGCATCAGTGTACATGTGCATATAGATGTGTGATGCACATATGCTGAGAGTTTTGTGAAACAGAACGGTGTAAAATTACTTACAGTTACCTCCCCCTAAGGGAATTATCTGTAAAAGAAAACTAACACGGTATAACAAATCTAACTAGCATTGG